TGCGTGCGTGCGTGGGTGCGTGCGTGCGTGCGTGTGTGTGTGTCTGTGTGTCTGTGTGTCTGTGTGTCTGTGTGTCTGTGTGTCTGTGTGTCTGTGTGTGTGTGTCTGTGTGTCTGTGTCTGCGTGTGTATGTCTGCATGTGTGTGTGTCTGTGTGTGTGTCTGTGTGTGTGTCTGTGTGTGTGTGTCTGTGTGTGTGTCTGTGTGTGTGTCTGTCTGTGTGTGTGTGTTTGTGTGTGTGTGTGTGTCTGTGTTTGTGTCTGTGTGTGTGTCTGTGTGTGTGTCTGTGTGTGTGTGTCTGTGTGTGTGTGTCTGTGTGTGTGTCTGTGTGTGTCTGTGTCTGTGTGTGTGTCTGTGTCTGTGTCTGTGTGTGTGTTTGTGTGTGTGTTTGTGTGTGTTTGTGTGTGTGTGTGTGCGTGTTTGTGTGTGTGTTTTTGTGTTTGTGTGTTTGTGTGTTTGTGTTTGTGTGTGTGTGTTTGTGTTTGTGTTTGTGTTTGTGTTTGTGTTTGTTTGTGTGTGCGCGCGCGTGCGCGCTTTAGGTGCGCATAGGCGTGTGTGGTTTTTGTGGTGTGTGTGGTGTGTGTGGTGTGTGTGGTGTGTGTGGTGTGTGTGTGGTGTGTGTGTGGTGTGTGTGGTGTGTGTGTGCTGTGTGTGGTGTGTGTGGTGTGTGTGTGTGTGTGGTGTGTGTGGTGTGTGTGGTGTGTGTGTGCTGTGTGTGGTGTGTGTGGTGTGTGTGTGTGTGTGGTGTGTGTGGTGTGTGTGTGGTGTGTGTGTGGTGTGTGGCTCTGTGCGTCTGTGCGACTGGGCGGTCTGTGTGTCTGTGTAACTGGGCAGTCTGTGTGTCTGTGTGACTGGGTGGTCTGTGTGTCTGTGCGGCTCTGTCTGCCTGACTGCCTGGCTGTCTGTCGGCTTGTCTGTCTGTCTCTTGTCTCTGGCTCTGTCTGTATGTCTCTGTCCGTGTGTCCCTTCTGTGTGTGTGTCTCTCTCCCCCTCTGCGTTGCTGTCTGTCTTTGCTCTTTCTGTCTTGGTCTGTCTGTGTGTCTCGCTCTCTGTCTCGCTCTCTGTCTGTCTGTCTGTCTGTCTGTCTGTCTGTCTGTCTGTCTGTCTGTCTGTCTGTCTGTCTGTCTGTCTGTCTGTCTGTCTGTCTGTCTGTCTGTCTGATGTCTGGTCTCTCTATCTGTCCGTCTCTCTGTCTTGCTGTCTCTCTGTCTCTCTATCTCTCTGTCTCTCTGTCTCTCTGTGTATCTGGCTGTCGCTGTCTCTCCCTGTCTGTCTCTGTGTGTCTCGGTTTGTTTCTGTGTGGCTGTCTCTGTCTGTCTTTGTCTGGCTGTCTCTGTTTGTCTGTCGGTCTGTCTCTGTCGGTCTGTCGGTCTGTCGGTCTGTCGGTCTGTCGGTCTGTTGGTCTGTCGGTCTGTCGGTCTGTCGGTCTGTCTGTCTCTGTCTGTTTCTGTGCGCGTGCGCCTGCGCAAGTCTGCGCCCTGTGTTTCTGTCTGAGTGTGTGTGTGTGTGTCTTTGTGAGCGCGCGCCTCGCCTCAAAGCGCCATCTTGACAATAGGGCCCATAGGCCTCGACTGCGGCACCTGGCCAAGCGAAGCGAGGCAAACTTGCTAACGAGCGAGGCTCACCACTGACTCCTGATTCTACCGAGATGGCCAGTTCAAGAAACCTTTCCGGCACAAGCGACCGCTATTCATAGAACAACACAGAAATATGCCTCACGGACAAGGTTGTCTTGTACCAGAAGAGGTTGGGCATGTCTCCAAGGCGCTGCACTTTTGGGGCTAAACCGCGCACCACAAGTTGGCCGTTAGGAGCCGAGCCAAAGGCGCTCGCCGGTTTCAAAGCTCAGCCGTACAAAACGCATGGCCAACTCACACATTTCCGAGCGCCAAAGTACTGGGGCTGCCACGAAACCGAACCACAAATTTCAAATGAAGCAGGAGGAAGCAAATTTGTCTTTACCAAGTATTTGCGTACGCATTAAGCAAAACACCTCAACAACACCTCAACATACAAATAGATACATACATATGATAACAATAACATATATATATATATATAATATATGGGTATAACATCCATACACATGCAATAGTATATATATATAGCTATATATACATATATATATATATGTACAGGCACCCCTCCTTACCCAGGTGTTGGTGCCTTTGTGCGACGGTCTACACATTCCAACTTCGCGCCTTTCTTGTGCTACAAAAGGGCCACAGAGTAAAAACACTAGTAGCAGTGCAAAACCTATTTCGAAATGAATTTGGTTTCAAATCAACATTCTGATACAGTATGTCCTTGTTAGAGTCTATCGGGCTTTCATTCGAATCATGCTTGGAAAGGAAGTCATGCTCAAGTTCTATAAGAACTGTTTTCCTAATGTGCTTACTTCTATTTTCCTTACAAACTCCAAGGTTTAATCAAGCTTCCTTTAAATCATTCGGGAATGAATTCCTAGATATTTCTTATGTTCAAAAACCATTCTTCAATTGAACGTGGGAAGTCTGGCAAACTATTCTCTTAGTAAATTCTATTCCAAGTTCCAATTCGGTTGGACAGGAATTGTGTTTGAACATGTTGGAGAACTCCAGGTTCCAAATTGTGAGGCTTCGCAAGGCCCCAACTAAGACATTTCAAGGATTGTGATATCCGGCTTCTAGATTTCAGGGGATCCAAAATGGCAACATTCAAAGTCTTGTTTGGACATCATGCTTCGTTCTTTCTAAAAAGAGGCGGAGGAAGTAGATGAGCAGGTGTGGAAGTAGTTTGCGGGAGAGGGAAGCATGCATGTATGGCACTATGCCCCGCGTTCCCGCCCAGATTCCGCGGCACATGTCAAGGAGATAGCCCATACAAGCAACATTGTCACGCTGCTTCATCAAGCGATATATCTCCAGCGAGAACGTGAAGGAGACGCCACGAAACCAAAGCATCTTACACCCACTGCATCATCATCCAAGGATGCAGCGCCTCAGCGTCATTCTTCCGGAAAGATTCAGATTCTGGTCAAGACAAAGATCCATGGTCAGCGTGGAATTCCTCATGGAAGCATGGCTCTGAAATCCGGATTAGCACTTGAAGAAGAACAAAGATACGGACAAGGAAGCAGTGAAGGCATCTGGAGAGCAGAACTAGACGTCCTTAATGTTGGTTTCCAAGAAGACGTACCTCAGACGCCCACGGAACCACAAACCGGAGATCGAAAAGAAACTTAACCGCTGCATCAATGACCTGACCAGAAACACCACAGACTGGAACAGGACCATAACTTTCATGAACAAGGAAGCAGCGCCACCCAACATTTCAGGGCACCCCTGCCAGCGTCAAGTTCCTCATCAAGCCTGACGAAGATTCAGACAGATACTAGAGAACCAGCAAGATTCACTTGGCAGCTACGACTTGCCACAAAAGAGGAAGGCGTGCGCCAAAATCCTCCAGCATTTCCTGCAATCCACGAAGACGAAGAAGGATTGTCGAGAATCCAAACATCCACCTCTCGCCGCAACATCCCTAACGTTGAACCTTGAGAACCTTAGAGATGTCCAAGACACTCAGGCAACCGAAAGCAAAAATCCTTCCAGAAGCAGACGGAATCCTTAACTCCAGAACGCCTTCATAGAAAGGGAATGGTCCTGAAGCAGGGAGGATGCAAGGGAACCGGATGTTTCGTGGGCAACAACACACTCCAACACATGGGTCATGTCTGGAGCATAGTTCAGAGTTTGGTCTGGTCTGCTTTCAGAGTCCGAAGATACGAAAGCGCCGATCAACAGATCCAAGTCTGGCGCCCCAATTAGCGCAAATCACGCGCCAGCAGCAGGAAACAATCCAGATTAGGAATTGCCCGATAAGATTCCTGGATCATATGCATCCAGTGTCCAGGGCAGTATCCTGTGCGTCGAGCGCAACAACCAGGAGGAGACCACACCTCCGACCAGCACGCACAAGATCAAGGGAGAATACAACAGAACCTATGTACACAGATCCGGGCTTCCGGCCCGTACATCACTATCATGACCAGACTCGTGAAGCGAGGATTGATACCCATGGTCGATATCAAGACAGGAGATGCGAATTCCACGCTCGCAAGGCTCAGAAGAAAACAGTCGGTCGCGCATTCGCAACTTTCGGCGAGTCAAAACTGCGATGGAAGGGACTGCAGAAGTATTCAATAGACAACAGGAAGAGCCGCTCAACCACATCAAGATATCATCAGAGTGCGCTGCGTCCAAGAGATCCATCCCCGAAGCATCACTGTAACATGGATCCAAGAGCACGCTTGAGACGCCTTCTACGGCGTACGCAATTGCCTCGTAACCGATCCTCGTAACCGATGTATTCCATTGCGCCAAGACCCTACAGATGCGAGAACACAGAAATGAACCCCTAGGAGAGAGATGCAAATTTCTCAACAATGTTACACTCCTCTTAAAAACGAACGATGCGGACTGGCCTCACCCGCTGTTGGTGAGCACCGATTCCACGTCCGAGAACCCGAACATTTCCGAAGAACAGATCCAGCGCAAACGCCTGCGTGATCACGAGACAGCTCGTGATATACATCGCCAGGATCATCTGATCGTATCAATATAATTCTGCGTGCGCAAGATATCCTTATGGATGAGACTCATTGCAATGGAATGTGAGTTTCTGATGCTTTCCTTTCTCGCTCCGGACATGCCGGAATTTCTCACCATGGTTCTAGGAACCGTATGTCTCTCAAGTTTCAACTCGTGTACATATCTTGGCATTGCTTCAACCAAGATGTGACTGCAAAATATTGCGCGCATAACCGTAATCCTTTCGGAACAGCCGACTTTTTAGATTGGCTACGGCATCATTTCCCAATGTGCTATCCTGCATCCGCATATTCAGGCTGTTGAGCCGAGTGATAAAAATCGCTTCATGGCAAGATTCCTTCTAGGAACCAGTAACGCCATGAGTGGAAAGAAAGTGGTGTCTGTTTTGTTTCTTGCTTTTTTCCTGCCGATCCACGCGAAGCCAACCCTAAAACCACAAACCAACCCTAAACCAACCCTAGACCCATCATAAACCAACACTGCACCACAACCCAACCGCAGGACCACGGGACCACCGGGGGGGGGGGGGGGGCGGAGGCTACCTGTATGGTTTAGGGACGCTGCACCATATACATGGATATGGCACCCCTCGTGAACCTGCTCCTCTTCATAGAATACTGCATGCAAAATACAGTGTTTGGCTTACATGAAGAAAGCTCACCAATAAACAAAGTTTCTCTAAACAACTTGAATGTGTGTTTCCACTGGATGCCGAAAAAAACATGTTCCACGCGATCGAAGATTGGAACACTTTTTTTCGGGAACCATCAATCCTGGCCAGCTCTCAAGACCCCGCCCCAAGCTTTCAAGTTGTTGGAAGCGCTCAAGTACTTTTACTCCGGATTGAAGATCAAGTATTGAAACAAAACAGTGTTCTATGCAAGCTTCAAAGCTTGAATGTTCTGTGCTAACATACTTAAAAGTTGTTCAAAAGAACAACTTGACAGTGTTTTCAGGTTAGCCAGAATTAAAGATTCTCGAAAAGTTATCTATGCAACCTGCAATGTTGAATTGTCATCCAGTGGCAAAATACGTTCAAGCTTTTAGAAGAAATTGATAGTTTGTTGGGCTCAGCCAGAATTGAAGATTATTGAAAAGTTGTCTGTGCCATCTTCAATCTTGAATCTTCAATCCAGTTGTAAATGAATTTCCATTTGTTTGAAGAACTTGCCAGTTTTTGGGATTGGCCAGAATTGAAGATTCTCGAAACGTTATCTGAGCAATTGTCAATCTTAAATCTTCAATCCAGCGGAGAAATATGTTCAAGTTCTAGAAAATATGGCTATGCTCATGTTGACCCTTGGGCAAAACATCGCAGGAGCAATGCTTAAAAACATGTATGTGCACATAAATTGTAAACAAGTGCATGGCGTCGAAAACCCTTTCTTGGCGGGCACTTTCTGGCAAAAGCACCCGTCGGACACTCTTTTATGCCACCCCCTTCTGCCTCAAACACGGGAACAACACAGCCAAAACTCACTAAACCTGGGTCCGTGTTGCAATGTAAGTCGCAGTGGTACATCCCAAATCGATGCGCCCGCGATGCAAACTCACACTGACACGCTCTCCGAGGCGCAGTAGATAGATCATTGTGCCGCTCGTTCAAAACACTTTCTTGCGTTTTCTGGGCTTGCGGACACACGACGAGACTAGCCTACAAGACCTTACCCCAGGCCCACTGAATGAAGAGAACCTTAGGCTCCGCATTCGAGTCACCCAGCAACGTGACGCGCGCCTTTGCTTGGACCGTAGCCTGCACAGAATGCCTGGCGTCGCAATGCGTTGGCGTCCAGAAGGCAACATCCTTGAAGTGTGGGTGTTCGAAGGGGGGCTCGGTTACCCCAAAATCGAAACCATGTCTGCAAATTGGTCGCCAGCAAATTCCTTGCTAAGAGCTGGTGAAGTTGACTTTCGGGGGATTCTGGGTGTACTAGACAGCATTTTATCCAGATGAAGCCTGAGGGCAAAGGTTCAAGCACAGTTCTTCTTTAGAGGGTGCCAAATGGATATGGTCACGAAGGATAAGTGCCCGAACTGCCGCCGGCACGCCCTACCATGGGGCTGGTTAAGGTGGTGAAGAAGGTACAGAAAGGGAGCACAGGTGTTTGCATGTACCTGTACCTTACACATGGTCTTTCCCCACAAATTATGTTTTTGCATTGCTCTTGAACTCAGCTAAATGGTGATGCTCTTGACCCTTGTACTATGCGCCATAGCCCAGGCACACATATATCATAGTAGCCTGAAAACCCGTACAGCAGTTCCAGATACATGGCGTGATGGGCGATGGCTGCCGTTGTCATAAGACATGATTGGGTAAACAGTGATGAAACAACCCGTGTTGCCAGCTCCGGAAAATGAGTTGTATCGTATCTGCCTTCTGACCTGCCATACGCCTTGCGAGATGATTGATTCTCGTGCTTTAAAACGTTACCGTTTCATCACGGTTGAGCGGAAGACTCTACATGCTGCAACAGCTGCGCAAAACGCAGGAACACCCTTCGCTGCATCTTTTGTTGGAGTCTCCGCTATCCCCTGACCAGGCGACACGGCTTGAATCACCGGCCTAACACCTGAGTCACGTGATTGGTCGGCCTTATGAACCGACCAGTCCCCTGTAGGACACCCGTGTCTCAAGGCTGCGACGGCCCCCCCCTCGCCTCACTGGAGGCGCAGTCCGTCGCATCCTAAGGTCTGACTGCCTGGGGCATGCTCAAGGCAGCGAGGCTGCAGCATTACCCAACAAAACCTTTTCAAGCATGGCTCTCCCGCGCAGTGGTCTTGTAGAGATTTCAGGGAAGTAGCTTATGGCAATCGCTCTTTGACAGCAAGGGCCCGCGAGGCCTTCTCTACTTGCACCCGAGCCTTAGCCCTTGGAATGAAGGAAAGCCAAGAAAACCAAAAGAACAAAGGAAAACCAACCTACCTCAACCACGTGTGCACTTTGCGAGTTCTCGACCTAACAGGGGCTCGTCTTAGCCAGGCTCCAGGACACGCATGGCCGTCGAATTGAGCCTAGGTGCCCTGGCGTCATGCGCGAACTGGCATCCAAGGACCTCCTAGGGCTCCCAGAATCGCCCCGTCTCTGGGTCCTGTGCTGGGACAAGGCGGTATGACAACAGCTCATTTTGGTTGTCATTGAGGTCTGCCCCTTTCTTCCCGAACTGAACTAACCCGAGCTCCGTTGCAAGTTCTATTGTCTGACCGCGCTCTGCACGCCCTGCTCATTTGCCACCCAAAAAGCAAGCACACCACGAACACAACTCACACACAACTCACGTTCCATGCAAATTCCGCAAACCATGAACATTCCTGGGGCACCGACTTCATGAGTGACTAGTCATCCACCCACTGCGCAAGGCTTGGATCTCACAAATCATGGAGTCCGAAGCAACAAAACATATCCGTGTTTGATTGTTGGCCCGTGAATAGTTGTCAAACCCGCCAAGGCACCACGGGAAAGCGGCAGCGTGGCTACAGCAGTACGGCGCCAGCTTTTAGTGGATGTTCTGTTTCGAGGCTGAAATGATGCCGGGTGCAGACAGCACTGCTTCTTGCAGCAGGTTCGAGGCATCGATTTTGCAACGTTACCCTCTATAGGTTGCTGGATCAAACAAATCACGACTGAGCGTAAAACCATGTAGATAACAGGATGATATCGGTGCATGACGACTATGTATACCTCCAAATGGCACATTCTTTGCATCTACAGCTGCATCAACGTTCTTGTCAACAATTGAACAAGCCGCAATATTCGATATCGCCTCCACACTTGACGTGTAGACACGCAATGATGCATGTGTTTTAGAGGTTTCGGAAGCATGTCACAGCGCCTCCTGTGGGTACAAATTGTCAAGACGGCTAGGCGTTCCTGAGATGAATCGTGCATCACGCACCTGTCCGCTTTGTTTATAATGCATATGGTATAAGCAAGTATCGGACGAGTGCCTGGCAACCGCGCAATCTTGAATCCCTTGCCTAGAAATAGCAGGATTTACGTTTCAATCCAAAAGTGCCCGTAAACTCATTAGACTCGCTTACAGGGAGTAAGTTCAAAATTCACCCCAGCTGCACACAAATACATACGTATGTGTAAAAATGCGCACTGCGCGTTGCAACTTCGGATGTGACAAGCTAGCCCTGCGCTGGGCTCGCCGGCGGGTCCGACGCTTGCCGGGGAGAATTCAAGGCCTCTGCCTGGCCGGTGGGTGCCATCAAGGGCCGGCTGTTGTGTGACCGCATCTTTCCATGAATGCACTTGGGTTGTTATGATGTGTGTATATGTGCAAACGCACACACGTATATATCCGCCGACCCTCTGCCTCCCGTCCTAGCCTCCTGCAGTTGTCGCGGGCCACATGTCGTGCACCCTGAAACAAACCAGTCCATTGTTGCGATAACCGAGACTGTCCTTTGAAGCCATCCCAAAAAAGAGGGTCTCTCCTGATTTCAACAGCACTCTTATGGGCGTCTGAGTCTGGCTCTTGTGAAGGGTCTGTTTGGGTTTAATCTGTCAACGCCTTCCTGAGGATGTGGTAAAGCTTCCAGAAATGAGAGCCCCCAAAAAGCCATTCTCACGCGAGGTCCCATTTTGCAACACCTGGAGGGCACCGGTCCGAAGTTGATTGCCCCAGTCTCTCCATCTCCCATTTCGAGCCGTGGTTCGGGCGACGATATATCGAGAAGAAGAAAATACAGTCACAAGATCACGTAGCCATCTGGAGAAGGGGCCATCCGCGTGAACGCTTCCGAATTGTTCTCCAGCGGGATCAAAGGGAGACAAAGCCAGGAAGCGAGCAACGAAAGCAGAACAAAGGCAAAGCAAAGCAAATCAGTGCAAGTTAGCCAGCCAGCGAGCAAGCAAACACGCCACCCAAGCCAAGCCAAGCCAGCCAGCAAAGAGCTCCTGTTTCAGCCTACATGATGTGATCAGTGGCATTCCTGCCAACGTGCCAAGACCAGCCAAGGGGCCAAAGGCCCATCAGAGCATCTAGTTGCTCGGGGAGCGAACCAGGAAATCAATGTCCTTTGGACTGAGCATGGAGGCTGCATTGACCATGGCATTTCTCCGCAGCCTCACGAAGAGGTGAAAAAGTATCACACAACACATAAAATGTCACAAAATGTTGAGGAAACCAGACATTCGACAAATGTAGGCTCATGTGGGGCTAGGCCAGGGGACGACTGAGCAGGTTGGAAGTGCCAGTGACTCGCGGGATGGTAATACACACACAATTCAAATCTCAAGGCACTTCTCTCTAGCAGAATGCCAGGCATGTGAGAAAACAGGAACGGCATAGACCTGGACTTAAAGCAAGCCAAAAAGGAAGTCAGCCATTTGGAGGGATCCCTGCTTGTCACTTCCCAAATGCTGCAATATGGGACTGGGCAATGATCTTGGTGCAGAATTCCGGATGCCCAGCCCCGCCTGGGGTGCCGTCGGAATCGAACAGCTGGCAGGCTGGGGCGGCAAGGCCAAGCTGCCTCCGTGGCATTCGGGCGGCAATTTTTTGGAGGGGCGGGCACATCCAACGGATCGCCAGCCGAACTCCACCCGTTGGAGTGACAAAATATGTCACTGACGGCAAATGCTTCACTGGTGTTTCTTGACCCAACTATCAACTCTCTGCATGCGTTGAAATCAGCGTGCGTGTTCACTGTCGGCGCATAAGTGTGTGTGTGTGCCTTGTTGGCGCATCTCGTATCCCGCGTCGGCGCACACAAGGGTTCATTGTTGGCGCACAACCACGTACACCGTCGGCGCACAAGAGTGCTCTTTGCCGGCGCGTGCGCAGCGTGCCGGCCAGGCTAGCGCATGAATGAGGTTTGCAGGGTTTGCGGCGCTCAAGGTGCTTCGTGCTTGTTTGTTGCTGCGTGCTGGAGATGTGAGACGGATGCCATGTCTTGGGAATGTGGCCAGCACAGCGACAGCTTTATTCATTGCAACTTTTGGGGGGATACCAGCCCTTGTGGATTCACCGAACGAACAATGTACTCACGCATTTGCTGTTGGCTTGACCTGCGTAGTGTATCATTGCGTTCCTACAATCTGTTTGGGGTCCACGCTGGCTGAGAGGAGGGTACAGGTACTCTTGTGCTTAGCGGTTCAAGCACGGGCCAGATACGTTCCAAGAGCTCAGTAAGCTTGCATGCAAACGCCACGTGACCACGTGATTGAAAAGATGCTGCTGCAAGCAGCTATCGCCGTTAGACCTTCAACAGTTTGGATGATAGCCCTTCAACAGTTTGCATGATGCACATGCTGACATTTTGCACCACTGCCTTGTGCTCATTCACCAACAATTCCCTGCTCTTCTCAACAGAATGTTTGTTTTGGTGGGTCAGGCGCATACAGAGAAGGGGCAGCATGATGCATGTACAACGAATACATTTATGCCAACATCGAGGCTAGGGTGAGAAGCTAACACCAACACAAAGTTTCGTATTTTTTGCAAACAAAGCAAGTCTGTTTGAGGCCAAGAATACTTTCGTGCACAGGGCCAGATTTTGCCCATGCTGCCAGACGTTCCAAGACTCCAGGGCTCAGTACAGGAACCGCTACCATATCGAGGGCCCGGCTGCGAGGGTCCGACCCCCGACCAAACTTACATTCTGGCCGACCCCATCCCATGCAGATCCCTGGCGCCGAGCTGTCATCTTAGCTGCTGTTGCTTGACGGCGCTACGACGTCGGCGAGGCATTCCCTGCTCATAGCAAGCCACAAGACTGCCAGTGAGGGGCAGTTGGACTAAATGCGTCTCCATCGAGATCGGTCCTTCAATCATCGGTCACAGTCATGCAACATTTACAGACACTGGCGTTCCATCAATACTTGTTCCTGTAAACTTACAAGCAGCGAGACTGCTGCAACCCGGCAAAGATCGGCAATCGGAGAATTCAACTGTGAGTTGATTGGAGCCATTTGCGGGCAGCATCGCTCCTGTGTGATCTTCCGCCGTGGCAACGGTTGGTTCAATCTCTTCTCGTCCATTTACTGGGCAGGAGGGAAACTTCAAGTGCCAGGCAGTGTAAACCTACAACTCTACACCCTTTGCGCAATTAAGCCGTGACATTGCCTAAAGCAAGAAAACTCAGATGCGAACTAAGAAGAACTCAGCCAAGTTGCGCAAGACTTCTTCCGCTTTGGGTTCCCACGGCCACCCCAACCGGCCTGCATGTGGCGCATTTGTTCCACGCCTAGAATGCGCGCCGAAGCACGGCATGTCGCAAGCTGGGCTTCTGGGGAGGAAAGTTTACATGGCGAACAACTGAAGACATTGGCAAGTCCAGGCATGGTGGCAAACCTTGGCAGCTTTCTGCCTCTTTGCATTTCATGTCACCTTGACATGTTCCTTTTGGGAGTGGGTCGCAATGGCTGCAAGCGTCATGCCCTTCAAGAAAACCGGCGGAGCAGCCCAGCCGGGCCAAGAGTGGCAAACTCCTGGCCAAAGCACGCCAGCACGCCCCGGGCCCATCGGAATTCGTGCCACGCCCCCAGTTCGCCGCACTCCGCGGGGCCCAGACTGGGCCATAAGCAGCTGCTGGCGCTTCATGAGCTGCTGGTGCTCCTCACCCGGTGTTCAACGCCTCCCAGCCCTGACTGAACAAGGGCTCAGGTCGGTGTCTCTCCAACCACTTGTCACCCCTGCTTGGCTAGAATCGTGCGGTCACTATGATGCCCCAATATTGCAAGTCGTCCTAAGATCACCGGAACTGTCCATAAGGGCCAAAAAATACCACATGGCTCAGTGTAATTTATTATAGGTTCAGCTGTCGTGAACGAAGGTAAATGCTTCAAATCGTGCAATGACTGCTAAATTGGCAGTGACTGCACTAAATACGATACGTCACCAATCAGACTCAAGGAACTCCAAAAGCGACCTTCATCATCGGTGACCTTGTCTTGCCCTACGCTTGCAGATTCTTGGGGGGGGTTCGGGGTGGGGGGAGGGCATTCTCTTTCTGCACGGGCATTGGCTTTTGGCTCAGCTCACAGGGGTCAATTCCACAATGACAACTCGCCTTTCGGGGCGGATCAGTCCTCCAGGAGCTTGGTCATGGCGTTCGCCAGCTCCTCGGGGTCCCTGGACGCCTCGAGAGCGACTATCGGAGCAGGGGCTATCTGAAGTAAAAACCGCGAGTCAGGGACCTCCTCCGAACCCTTTGACTTTTTCCTGGAGAGCCAAGCACTTGCGATCGTTACGACCGATGTGGCTTCTCTGAAGAGTATCAATGACTAGTCCCTCAAACTTTGCCAACAGCAAATGGATTTGCAGGCCAACTTCGATGCTGGGGGCAATGCCTTGTATGACGGCTCTCCTCCAGTGACAAAAAGTGCTGATGAGCCACGTGCAGAAATTCCTCAAATTATTTGTCCAAGATACTTTGGAAACAGACAAGCAGGGATTGGGGCCAAGTGATGCGAAAATAATCCGGTTCATGTCTTCATTGGTCCCAAACACCTTCGCCCACCTGCTGATTTCAGATTTCTCTTTGACAGCGAAAGCATTCTCCGGCAGTTGTCTGAAGTCTGCACATCCGATGACAGGCAAGCTTCGCACACAAAGAGACACCCAAAGAGTCTCCGCCAAACCAATCACACATCCACAACCTCTACCTAGATACGATCAGGTAGACATGAAGCGGCATGTTTCTCCAAGACTGCACGTTGGGTTGCGCTTGGTTTCCCGAATCAACACGGACAAATGGAATCCTTGACAAGACAGGCCGCTGATGTATCTTCAGCCTCGCCGGGTCGTTGCATGATTGATTTTCCGTGCCATCCTTTCCTGGCTCGATCAACAATGAACCAATGGGCGGAGAGAAAGGCACTTAATGACGACGGCAAGAAAAATGAGCTACGCGGACAGGACATATGCATGCAAACACAACTGAAAATATGACACTCAAAATTGTGAGCATGTTCATATCTCTTCTCCATGTTTACTCAGCCTTCAATGGCCTAGTGGTTCCTCTGAAGCTGAGTTGGGATGATGTCTTTGAAGCCAAAGGGTTTTCCGTTTGCAGCACCTGCGTCCATTTGTCAATCTTCATATCGGGGAAGCCGCAGGTCCCTGGCAAAGTCGAGGCTTCGGTTTCAGCCCAAAAAACCTGGCTGGAAGCGAGGTGTCGGGAGGAGTCAAACATTCACCCGGCGTCTTTCACCGCTCGGACTTGAACCCCGAGCACCAAGAAGTCAACGCATTCAAACTCACAGCAAAGGCAATCAGATCTGCGCAGAATTGTCGCTGCGCGGTCGCTGCGCGGTCTAACGGCCCTCCCGCATCATTCCGCCTTGGATTCTTTCAGCGGCTCTTGGAAGGTGCCGTTCAGCTGGTTCACCAGCCTCACGGGGCCCCCTTTGTGGAACCTGTTGAGGGCTGTTCAAAAGGGATGTAAACATGAATGACAACCCCATTTGACAAGCCAACGGGACGGGTGCCGAGTCGCCGAGCGTGTTGTCGTGATCTTTGAACAAAGAGAGGCAACCAATGGCCCGTGTCTGAGTCGATTGCTTCGCCAAGATGCGGCAGCCCCACAACCAAACTTGTTCGCCTGAAAAGGGTTGGCTGCCGATCGGAACATCGAGCTCTTTGCGCAACATGCCAGGCGCCCCTGGGCCCCTGGCTTCCGCACCGTGCCCTCAGCCTCAATGAGGCGGGCCTGACACAGGAAAGACCGAGCGGCTTGAGCAGCTCACCAACGGAGGTGACCTTCACGGCGATGCTTTTCCACGTCGCTCCCATTCATGCTATCATGCTTTTACCAGGCTTGACACTAGGCCCAGCCCTGCTGCCAAGCAGCCTCAAAATAAACTTCCAGCTGTGCTCAGGAATGTAAGCCGCTCGGGCAGTTGCAGCCATTGGTTTTTCTGTGTAGAAGAAAGCACAGGCAGGGCGGGGGCAAACAACTATATCACAAAAAACAGAACCCCCCCCCCCAGTAAAAAAGGCAAACAAATAACGAAGCAAAACAACAAGTGGTATACTTTTGGTTTTCTGTTGACCCTGGCAACAAAGCGAGTCCTGCTTGAACAAACTCCAAACACAGCACTTTGACAAAGACCCCCAACAGAACGGCAAGTAGGTCTGTTTCAAGGGCGGTGAAAAATCCTAGTCAAAAAAGAAGAGAAACTTCATGGACCTCAACAGCCCCACCCCAGACCAACCAATGGCCCAACGACAGACCACTCCCATCCTCTTGGGTCTGCGGTGCGAAGCCCCAGCCTTCATCAAGCTGAAGCTCTCCGCGATGCTGCCCTCCACGCCTCAAGCGCGCGGCTCAATTGCTGGCACTGCCCTTTCTAGGGACGACTTCAGCGCCCGTTCCGATGACTCCAATCCTTCCCCAACCGACCACGTTGGGCAGAACAAATATCACCTGGTCATTGCGTTTGACTCTCTCCCTTCTGCGGGTGCAGGGGGCAGTGCCCTGCCGAAGCCGCCGGGTGTTGGCCAGGGGGTGCAAACGGACATGCGGTGGGGCCGACTTAGCTCCGCTGGGCCATTTTGCGAAATAGTCCCCTGCAATGGTGAGGTTCCTTGTGTTCCCCTTTCAATACCAACCAACAAGGGTTCCACCATTTTGGCTGTGGGTCAAAAATGGGCACCCAAAATGGAACCCTGGCAAATGGAACCAACTAAAACCTCTGGTCCCCTGATGGTTTACTGTTGACCCACACCCATTTTGAGAAGCTCCCAAATGGTGCAAACAACCGGGGCCCCATGTGCACCTGCGGAAGCTACGAGTGAATTTGCTCGGTCCCTAGCCTTCGGCCAAAAGGACGGAGATCAAACGCCCAAAAAACACACACACAAAGACACACACACACGCATACACACAAACACACGCATATATTATATATATATATGATATATATATATATATGTATATATATGTGTATATATATATATAGGTATACACACATATAAACACAGACACAAACAGAAACACAAACAGAAACACAAACAGAAACACAAACAGAAACACAAACAGAAACACAAACAAACAAACAAACAAACAAACAAACAAACAAACAAACGTGCGGATCTGCACAGTTCCAAGAAGCTCGTGAACTTTACGTTGGTGACCAGTACATTTGTGACCAGTACGTGACCATGCCACCCCCCAACCCCTCGCCAACCCACCAAACAAACAAGCCAGCAAACAAACAAGCAAACAATGCATGTTGCCTGGACAACGTGGCTTCAACCTGCGGCATCTGTGGCTTTAAATACGTCACTCATGCCAATTGCTGCATGATGGATAACACACTCATGGCAATTGCTGCATGATGGATAACACTGACTGCTCTAATATTGCCCCTTTCTGGTATATCCCGATATCCATGGTGAGTCGATACAACTTCCCTCTAGCGCGGGGGCCTTTCAGCATAGGCTGCTGACAATGTAAGCTTCCAATATTCTCCTGATTGCTGGCTCGCCCGGCCAGTGCTGAGATCTTGAAGGTCCTCCGGGGCAGCACAGCCTCATTCCTGTGGGAAAGACGTGTTTTTGCGTGCCAGTGAACAAACTGATTGGGGATTCAGTTGCCACCGGTGCCAAACGGCAACTCCTGGGTCTGTCTATGTCGAGTGCCGCGGTGCGCCGGAACATTGGACTTGCGGGTTTGATCGACTCCCTTCTCCGTCCTTGGCCATGGATTCCGACCTGCTCTCCAGCCAAGCCTGGCGTTTGATGACACCCCGCATTGCCAAGGTCGGGGGAGCGGGCCGGAAGGCTTGGGGAAGGAGCTCTGGCTTTGTGCGCATGTTGCACTGTGATGGCTGCCTCGTATGCAGGGCACCTATTTGCCCATAGGTGCGCCGGGTTGGTTGCCTTGCTTGCTTTCGTTGAGTTTTGCACTGAATTCATATAACCAGACACTGCCTAGACATACACTCGAGTCTTCCATTTCTGTCTCATTATTCACAGTTCAACGAGTATTCCTCGGCAATGCAGCGTTACGATGTCAGGCCCTGAAAGATGCCGCCTGCTTCAACCAAGAAGGATGACGCGCTGCCAGGCCCAGGCCCAACACACCAAAGTGTCACATGTTGCGATGGCGCCCGCATGCTTGATATTGCCTGACATCGGGTAGTGCCAACGATCGGACTAAAGACAAACTCAAGATAATACCCAAAACAAAAGCCCGACCATAGACCTTTGATGTTGAAGTGCAGGCACAGAGCTGTGGATGCAGCCAAATCAAACATTTATTCTGCTGGAATCCGGCTGGATCAGTCACGGCTTCAACGCTTGGCAATGGACTTCAACTGCCAGGACTTGATAATTCGAGGTTCACATGCGTCTGTTGCGCTAGATGTCACCCATGTCTGAGGCCTGAATCGGCAGGCCCGATGGACGTCCAAGGGTTGCCCCACTTGAGTGTTTATCTCACACATGCTTGTTGCCATCATCCTCACCAAATCCTCGTGGCAAACTGCAATGGGGTTCCCCCAGCATGTTTCCAGCCTTGGAACTCAAACGGCAACCAAACACTGAACGCCACTCGTGGATCACGAGTACGACAGGCTCCCGAACATCGCCCCGGCCTGGTGCTCCTCCCGCTCCTTCTGCAAAACACCCTCCAGGGCTTCGGCCTTCGCCTGCGAGCGGTGAGCAAGCCCCTGCCACAGCATCGGAACAATTTCTGAACGACGCTCCCAATGGTGAGCTTGGTGGAAGGGCCCGTCTGCTGGAAGGGTGATGATGAAGCTGCGGGAAGCCGGCAACGTACCACAACTTTAAGCGCGCCCTTCAAGCCGGCCGTGGTGGAAAGGGAGGGGAGCCCAAAATCAACATGAAGCCAGAAATATCCCAAAGAGCTCCGCTAGTTCAAACATTCCCAAATATCACCCTCGGTTTTGTCGTCGAAACTGACCCTCTGTGCCTCCAAACAGGCGACAAAGACGGACAAACACAACAACAACATCACAAAACACACACACTCGCCCAACCGGAAGAAACAACCACTCAATCAGGAAACAACCCACGTCCACCGCCACAAATGCCCACAACCAAAAAAAAAAACAGAGGCCCGCCCACCCACCCCCCCCTCGTCGCCCACAACGCCTCGAACTGCTCCCTGGCTTGGCGCATCTCCCCAAGCTCGCGCCGCAACTGGGAGGCACGGCTCTCCTGGGGCCGAGGCAATACAGCGACGCGAGCCCCCGCCAGAGGAGGAGCTCCAAACATAGGTGTCTTTTTTTCGGAAAATAGATGGCCCTGGTAGATCTGGTAGATGATTGAACCACCACGTAAACCAGGGCCTTCTATTGTTTAAGCAAAACAACCAAAAAGGACACCTATGCCTGCAAAACCTGGCAAACACCAAAAAGGCGAGAAACACCGAAAAAACGGCCACTGGAAAATTTGAAAACCCAAGCGTCGGGAGATTCTCGTAATGCTGGCAATGCTTCCTTTCACAGCAAGGCATGACAGGCTGTGACAGGAGCACCCATGCAGTATGCGTCAACATAGGGGAACTCATGGAACTCCAAAACATGCGGTTGTCCGTTTGCTTCCCTCTTAACCAAGCGAGTCTTAAACAAACAAATGACCCCACTCTGCCTTCTCTTCACGCACTCCGAGCTCCCACGCCAAGCTATCTTTGGGCGCGTTGAGCCTGCCAAATCGCCAGGGCCACGCACCGCTCAACACGAAGCCATACAGCAGCTTCAAAGGCACGGGGAACATGGACCTGCCTACTCTCACGCAAACTGCAACAAGTGGATGTCATGTATGTTAGAAGAAACACCTAACTTCATCAAACGCACCGACCTCGTCCAAAACCCAAAACGACCTTCTGCTCACTCCGCAATTACATTATAGACTCGGGCTGCCCGCGGCACAACAGCCGCTGTTTTGAGGCTGTAGGTTTCCAGCACGGGAGCAGGTCCGCTCTTCAAACCCGAGCCATCGCAGCCTGTGTCACACGCACATGTCTTGCTGAGCTTCAGAAATGCGTCTATGATTTTATCAACCACCTGTTGTGGACAAAGTTCATCATTCCCGCTTTTTGGCGGGATGCAATCTAAACCGCAAACCAGAGCAAGTCACCAAAACCATTTGGAGGTGCCTTACAAGCTTGGACACATTCCCACGCGTTTTTGCCGACCCCGACTGCCTGCCCCTTTCCCCTCTTAGCCCTCTTTCCCCTCTGAGTGCCCGGCTGGTCTTTCAGCAGAGTGCTGACCTCCTTCAGATTCACCTCCATGCACCTTGCTTCTCGCTCACCAATGGCTCAGCAGGACGACACGACAAGGCCTGAGAACCCCCTCCCCCCCTCCAAAAACCGTGTGTGGTTCTATCTCGATGCATGTTGGAGGTATAATACGGAACCATTGGATTCCACCTGCAGTTGGTTGCATAACTTGTCCGACATGTTCTCACAGCTTGGGAGCCTGGCCTGCTCTGACATGTAAACTCGACTCTATTTTCTTCAACTGCCAGCCTGCATCCAAATCCAAGACAAAAGAAACTCGGGCGCAGTACAAACCATGCTGCTATGACGGGGCATCATTCTTGGGGCAGGTGGAATACAACATGCTTGTGAATCTGTGACTTTTTCGGGAGAACACGCGAAACCACACCACTTGGAGGCACCCCAGCTTTGGGGCGGGTCTCCGCGTGCAATGTTCAACACTCCCTGCGGGCGACACAATCGCGATGCCCCGTATTGCAGAGAGCTCTGTTTCGCAGTTGTCTGAAGCCCTAGGTCTCCCAGTAGTTCTCACCCTTTATTGGGGGAGGGTTCCCGGACTAGAATAGACTACAGGAAAAAGTTGGTACCCTTACTCCAACCGCTCTACTGGAGGACCTAGTCCCCCTCTAAATCAATCGCCCGGGCTTTTCACCCGGACGCCTTCCGAATTCACCGTCCCCTCTCGGCCCACTCCCCCAGCCCAGGCCGCCCTGCCCCACCCGCCGGTGCAGCTCCGTTTCCCGGTACATGCCTCGCGCGAGGCAGGATCCCCCCCACCCCACCCACCCCAAACCTCGCCGGTGGAGTGCGGCTCCCTTCGGATCCCCTCAAGGGTTCCATCCGATCTTAGGCGTGTTTTTGTTGGCCTCTGGAGTGGTCCCACTTGAGCGCACCCACTACTTGATATGGAAATCGTGCGTTCCCGGTTTACGTGTTGTTTTGCTGAACTCTCGCCGCCTATGACCTGGCCCAACTGGGGCCCAAGCTTCATGGCATGAATACAGGCGACTCCAGCTAGCTTTGCCCAAGTGCTAGAATTTTCCCCAACGCCGCACAGGACTGCATATCTTGCCCTACACCTCTCCAGCCAAATGTGCAAGCATCAAGTCAGCTGGTGAATCGCCTGCCCTTTCAGGATCCGCCAGCAAGCGAGTGTTGAATACCAGCACAATTTGTTAAGCTGCAACAGTGCACCATGTGCCCAGAACAAGCACATTTCGGATGCTGCTTTGAACCCCACTCATTTTGGCGGCCCAACACGCTTGCAGCCTAGGCGTCTACTCTCATTGTCAACAAACGGGGTAGAAGGGATAGGACCCTCATTGGGACAGGAGTAGCCTTCAAAGGTTTGCGAGTTAATTAATTAGCTGAACGTGTCTGAGAGGTTTCATAGGCACGCTCGTTTGTTTGTGGAGCATGTCAATGGACTGTCTTTTGGATGGCATCATGGGCCAAGGGTGGAAAATGGAAAATCTGCCTTGCCCTTTGGGAAGCAAGTCTTGCGCAACCCTGCATGCGAACCCCAAAACAGTGCATCAAAAGCGCCGGGTATATTCAACGGGCCGTAGAACAAACACGAGCACCGTCACCCAGTTGCGCTGTCCCACGAAGTGCAACCAGATTCCGACGCGGCAAAGCCTGCGGAGGATGGCACTGAGGTGACCTGCAGTGCGCGGGAGAGTTGCCCTCGGAGCCAGGTCCTTTTGGCACACAGCCAAAAGGCATCCAACAGGTTCCTGCAACTCACGATATGTTCAGCCGAATGCAAATTCACCATTGCTGCGAATGAATCAGGATTGCTGCAAATGAACAACTATCGCAGGTTGGCGCACGAAAACGACAAAGAGGTGAGGGCGATGCATCTGCATGTCCTGTCTCGTCACTGGTTGCAGGTCGTTGTCAGGGCCAAACTAGAGCTCCAATCTTTAATCCCAATCCAATCTGCTGCAGACGGTCACCCCTTTTTTGCTGTATGCCATGCACAACTGCCCCAAATGCAGCTCCACATGCGTGGTAAATCAGTCCAAAGCAACCGACAATCAACCATGGGACACTGCGCCGTGAAGTGATCATGACTCGTCAAAAAGCTGCAAAAGAAACATCAGCCAGGCTCTTGAAAGCTCGCAAAACCCTCGGACCTTGTAAATTCTCGCACACCGTGCAATTTGAAATCTCCAAAATATCCGAGGAAAAACAGCTTGTTTGCCCAGCTTGGCCACTTCCAAAATGGTGCATGTGGCATCGAAAAGCAGAACAGCTCAAACTTGCAGGTTCATCCATCCCACTTCGCAAGGTCAAACGCATGTTTGCAGAACCTGAAATAAACCCGCGTTGTGACCATGGATCCAACGTCATAACCCTTGGACCAAATGGGATGCATGGCGCAATCGGCGAAAGAATCCAAGGATCTGGCCGTGGTGCTGGAATTGTCCAGCACGCCGTGGCCTGGAAAAGTCTCACATGAACCCATTGCACTGAAGCTGTGCACATGCATGAGACGGTTGCTCTTGGCCCTATCCGGGTCATGTTTGCGTTTGGAATGTACTGTAGTGGAATGCAATGTATTGGATGAACTTGTGTCGTCATTGCTTCCCATGAGCTATGCGGAAATAGTTGGGATTCCGTCAGAACTTCATGAGCTTGACACAAACCGGTTATCTAAGGTCCGTATCTGACCAACCCGATGCCACGAGATGCCACGAGTTGGTATGTCAAAATCGGGGTCCCATGGGCCTGGGGTTTTCCTTTTTGGTTTTAGAAAGACCCCAAACCACACACCCAGGTGGGTCCTTCTGAGTAGACAATTCCACTGGAAGCAAGGCTCGCGCTTGCCGCATGCCCCTTCCTGGGTCCCGCACCATCGGCAGCCTGCGAAGCGTGATGAGGGGCCCAGCTCTTTTTCCGGGGCCTTGACCCGCGAACCAAAATGGATGAGCTTGGCATCTCCCTGGTCTTCCACAGGTCTAGAATATGGTCGAGGTAGCTCAACCATAAAATTGCAAAGGGCTATGTGTTGCGCCAAACTAATTTGGAAGCTTGCCAAGTCGATTATGAAAACTACAATCTGGGGATGTATGGGGCATTTTGTTTCATCCAACTGGCTAAAACTCGCCCATGCTCAAAATTGCAACTTGCCTGCCTGAAGTAGACAGCATTTGTGTGCACATGCTGGAGACAGCTTTCTTCAGCGAGACCGCACAAGGGTATGTGAAGGGAAGGGGCTGCGAAAGGGTCGGGAATGGGATCCCATTCCATGTACTTCCCCTCGATCGGGTTGCTGAGAGATACACACCTGAGGAATCTTCAAGAAATCCAGTGGTGGCGGAGGTCGACACCTTGCGAGAATGAGAACTCGTTCAAGAGTCCCAGGGCTTGAGAAGCCCGTGTGCGAATGAGTCAGGCTGCAATGACTGGTTGATCCTTGGCAGGTTTCCGTCGCTTGCCCGCATGCAACTTTTCGAGCTGGAGAAAAAACTCCTGCAGAAACATCTACAAGCCAAAAACACCAAAAGCGGTGGCTTGAATTTCCGCGCGCATTGATCCTCTGACTCTGCGTCCATATGCGCCTCAAAGCTCGGCCCTGAACAAGCTGGCCTACTTGTTTCTTGCACTGAGGGTGGCTTCCGAAGTTTCTCTTTTAGTTGTTCTTTGCAACAGCCCGAAAAAGGGGGGCCTAAAGGCACGGACACACACGCACACACACACACACACATCCAGTTAGTGATTGTTGGTAGATTGGCCTGGCGCACCACTTGGCGCACACACTCACCTGGCCCGCCCCGCCTGAACCGTGGATCGCATCCTGTCAAAGGCGTTGGTGTATGACGCTGCGGCTTGTCTTACCGGTAAAAAAAGGATGGAAATCCTTCTACCAGCGAAATATGGAATATGTGCAGTACTGTCAACCGAGCATGCAAGCAAGATGCACCAAGATGCGGCCTTGCTATCTAACATGCTTGAAGGCACGTGCTTGACCTTCTGACATGGCGGTGAGAATTCAGCAACTTGGTGAGAAGCGTGCGCTCATGCTGCGCCTTCGTGGTTTCGGCCTTTTTGCAAGGCACACCCCTTTTTATGTTCGTTTCTCTTTACAACTCACTCCAGGTCTGAAGCCCATACTGCTTCTTGTGAGCCATGTCGCTTGACGCGGGCTAATATCCAGTCTCTTGTTTGTTGCAAGGGACCAACGGATTGCTGCCCCCGAGAGGGCTCGAATTCAGCTGACAACCTGTACAAGCCTCCGGGTCGATCCCAACGCTGTACACTGGGGAGTTAGGCGGATGGCTGGGCAAAAGTCAGCAGCAACTTGCGAAATATCGAAAAGGGCTACTTCCAGCAGGGCAACAGCACCAGCTGAACCTAACCTGAAGCTATTGTCGGCCACGAGCAGCGGAATCGCGATGTATGAGCCGCATCCCTGCAAGTTTGCTGTACATACATCAGCTCCCACTCAGACATGGATTGCCGAAGATAACTTGCGGCCGTCCTGGTTGCTGGAAGAAAGGCGTAGGAAAGGCGTAGAAGACATGAACTGCTAGATGCAAGCTTTGAAAGGCTCCAAGTAAGACCTGACTCAAAAAGATGCGTTCTTTCAGATGGTGCTGTCAGCGCATGCTTTGTTTCGACTCTGTTTAACCCCCACACAACCCCGTGGTGCCGCCTCCATCAACAAAATACCCTCTGAGGGCAGTTTGAAGATGTCATGCGTATACATGTCACACACACACACACACATGGGCTCACTTTCCCTCCCTCCTCCGGCCCTCCGGATGTTGTTCAACATGGACGAGCGCTGGCAAAAGTGGTTGTTTCTTTCAACATCCGATTTTGACAAAGCAGGTCTGAACTCCCAAAAAAAAAAACATCATTTTGCACTTACGAAGGCATGCTCCAACTTATGCCATCACCACTTCACCAATTAGCTACCAATGTTCACATTCTTCCACATTTGGGGTTTAGGTAGCAGTGATGGGTAACAACTGAACGAGCTGAATAAAACCACTGCATTAATAAGGCACAAGCCCGCAAGATGCGGCTGAACCTTTTTGTTGCTCGAACATAAACGATTGGATTCGTGCTGCAATGCCTTGGGTGTTTGCTGGTTGATCACTGTCCACCGTAAGTTGCAACTTTAGCACCGCCCTGTTTAGCAGCCGTGTGGTTCAAGAAAAAACACCCAAAGCCTCGAAGATGTTCCAAGTCGTTCGGCCACTACACCCCACCAACGTGTAGTCCTCCTCCACGGGCTCCGTGGTGTTCTCCGGGTCCGTGGCATTGTCCTCGCACCGGGCAAAACACCCGAGAAATGCCAAGCTTCCGGGACGTCACCCGTTCAACAAAAAGGTCTCAGAGTCTCATTCACCTTTCTCTCACATGCATTCCACGCGTTGCGAATTTCTGCAGCTTCTCCATGAACTGCCGCCCTTAACCCGAATACCCAGGTATCTGACGGGTTCTTCTGCCAAACAACGAATTTTCGTAGAAGCATTTGCTTGGGTCTGCATTTTATGTTGGGGCATGGGCCCCTAACCTTCCGAATCATGAACTCCCAAGTGCCTGAGTTGTGCAGGGGAGATGTCTGGCGTGTCTAATCACAACCAGTGCGAGGCGCAGAGAAATCGTGCGCCATCCGTTGAATGAGGGACGGCTGCTTTACTTCGGAGGCACGGAGGGAATACCAATTGAACAAATGTTATCTACTTGAAAGCTAAAATTGGTGGGTACATAAGCCTCTTTCCTTCAAAACCCGAATCTGAACATGTGACATGCCACATCTCCAAACCCCCCTGGCCCGGGTCCTCGAGCCAAACGCCTGGCAGGATACTTTTGGAGTTCAAACGCCACTCGCACCACGGGGTGAAGGCGCAACACGCCGGGGTCCCGAGTCGGCCCCTTCTGCCCCTTTCCACCCCTTCCTCCACCCCCTCAGCCCATCCGCGCCGCCAGGCAGCGGGAATGGGTTCCAAGGGCTGTCGCCTGCCGTGCGTTGAGATACACGGCCCCACGGTTGCATGTTACGGATTCCAGGCGCCACATCCAAACGGAAGGCTTCCATTTGCAAAACCACCCATCTGACACGTCTGAACCGGTTAGCCCAAGTGTCCAACTGCGATGGGGGGCTAAAAACAGCCAAAGAGATGGCCCGTCAACCTTCACATCCGACATGAAACCAGGGCCCTCTTTGTGCCAGGTCCAACCGCACGCCAAAAAAGCCTGAGCTACCAGAGTACCCTCTGTCGTCAAGGCCTGTTGTTGAACCGCAATGGTAGATAGATAGTCTAATGAGTGACTTGCAACACAGTAATGTTGCACCTGGTTTCATATCTGTAGTCTGAATTACTTTTAGTTTCCCCAGCTTAAACACGACCCCCCCACTGCTTCGGTACCATGATTTATGCCAAGTTCAGACCCCCGGTCCAAAAATATGAGCAAGATGCGCAATATTGGCAACTGATGTCTCCTCTCAGCTTCCTGGCTCAGTCCCAGCAGTGAAAACTCCGCAACATCTAAAAGCTTAGCAAGGGACCAGGCCAAGACCTGAGTTGAGTCTGAGAATTCCTAAGCCCCAACCATCAAACTTCTTTACTTGAATCCATCAAAAAACACAGCCGAAACAGTCCTGCAAAGGGGGTTGCCCACAAGGGGCCCTGATCATCTGATCATCTGTAAGGGGCACTGTTTGGGTACCATGTTTCATGTCCATCAAGTCTTAGGGGCAACCCCAAAGGAAGTGCTGCCAATACTAAATTAAGTAGTGGCAATCCAAAAGGAAGTGCTGGCAATACTCAACCAAGTAGTGGCAACCCAAAAGGATTTGTTGGCAATACTAAACTACGTAGTGGCAATGCTAAAGCAATACTTAAGTCATCCAAGCTCGCCGCCAGATCCCTATTCAGGATCCTCGAGCACTGTTTTGACTGTTTGGGGGGGGGGGCCACGGTAAACAAGGTCCAACATTACCCATTTGCAATGTGGTTGCGTGCCCTTGTCGGCTTCGAACCCTTCTAGCCCTTCCAGCCCTTCTGCCCTTCAGCCCATCCGCGCCGGCAGGCTGTGGGTTCCAAGGGCTGTCGCCTGCCGTTCGTCAAGATACGCAGCCCCACGGTTGCATGTTCCGGATTCCAGGCGTCACCTCCAAACGGAAGGTGTCCATTTGCAAAACCACCCAAGCGGCACGTCTGAACCACATTTATGTTTTACTTGAGGAAGGCATTTGCCACCGTTTGCCAACTCGTGGGCAGGCTTGCTCACGGAAGAGAGAGGATGCTCCTAGCCGCTTAGGGACGGCCAAATGGCTCAAGTTTTAGCCGCTGTTTATGAGATAGGGGCGCCAGGGGTTGCGCCCTACTGCAGGACAAAGGTCAGCCGGGTCCTACCGCACGCCAAAAAAGCCTGAGCTACCAGGGATTTCAGGCCAGTAGTACCCTCTGTCGTCGAGGCCTGTTGTTGACCAGAAATGGTAGATAGATATGGTCTAGTAAGTGACTTGCGACATGCCGGGGAAGTCAGTACCCATTTGCAATGTGGTTCCGTGCCCTCGTCCCCTTCTAGCCCTTCCAGCCCATTCGGCCCTTCAGCCCATCCGCGCCGGCAGGCTGTGGGTTCCAAGGGCTGTCGCCTGCCGCGCGTCAAGATACACGGATTCCAGGCGTCACCTCCAAACGGAAGGTTTCAACTTGGAAAAACAACCAACTGACGCGGCCTAACACATTTGTGTCTTACTTGAGGAAGACCTTTGCCACCATTTGCCAACTCGTGGACAGCGGCTTGCACACCGAAGAGAGAGGATGCCCTAGCCGCCAGGGGATGGCGAGGAGATGGCCCGTCAAGTTTGTGTCTTCATAACTACGGATATGTCTCAATCAAGACCCTGGGGCTGACATGAAACCAGGGCGCTGTTTACGAGATAGGGACCAGAGGGTTGCGCCCGACTGCAGGACAAAGGTCAGCCAGGTCCAACCACACGCCAAAAAAGCCTGAGCTACCAGGTCGAGGCCTGTTGACCAGAAATGGTAGATAGATATGGTCTAGTAAGTGACTTGCGACATGCAGGGGAAGTCAGTACCCATTTGCAATGTGGTTCCGTGCCCTCGTCCCCTTCTAGGGCAGGCTGTGGGTTCCAAGGGCTGTCGCCTGCCGCGCGTCAAGATACGCAGCCCCACAAGTTGCGGATTCCAGGCGTCACCTCCAAATGCAAGGCTTCCATGTCAAAAACCACCCGACACGTCTGAACCGCATTTATGCTTTACTCGAGGAAGGCATTTGTCACCGTTTACCAACTTGTAACTTGTGGACAGGCTGGCTCACCGAAGAGAGAGGATGCTCCTAGCCGCTTAGGGATGGCCAAATGGCTCAAGAGTAGCCCAAGCGTCCAATTGCAATGGGGAACTGAAAACAGCCAAAGAGATGGCCCTTCAATCTGCGCATCCGACATGAAACCAGGGCCCTCTTTGTGCGTTAGGGGGTTGCGCCCTACCGCAGGACAAAGGTCAGCCGGGTCCTACCGCACGCCAAAAAAGCCTGAGCTATGAGGCACTTCAGGCCAGTAGTACCCTCTGTCGTCGAGGCCTGTTGTTGACCAGAAATGGTAGATAGATATGGTCTAGTAAGTGACTTGCGACATGCAGGGGAAGTCAGTACCCATTTGCAATGTGGTTCCGTGCCCTCGTCCCCTTCTAGCCCTTCCAGCCCATTCGGCCCTTCAGCCCATCCGCGCCGGCAGGCTGTGGGTTCCAAGGGCTGTCGCCTGCCGCGCGTCAAGATACACGGATTCCAGGCGTCACCTCCAAACGGAAGGTTTCAACTTGGAAAAACAACCAACTGACGCGGCCTAACACATTTGTGTCTTACTTGAGGAAGACCTTTGCCACCATTTGCCAACTTGTGGACAGCGGCTTGCACACCGAAGAGAGAGGATGCCCTAGCCGCCAGGGGATGGCGAGGAGATGGCCCGTCAAGTTTGTGTCTTCATAACTACAGATATGTCTCAATCAAGACCCTGGGGCTGACATGAAACCAGGGCGCTGTTTACGAGATAGGGGGCAGAGGGTTGCGCCCGACTGCAGGACAAAGGTCAGCCAGGTCCAACCACACGCCAAAAAACCTGAGCTACCAGGTCGAGGCCTGTTGACCAGAAATGGTAGATAGATATGGTCTAGTAAGTGACTTGCGACATGCAGGGGAAGTCAGTACCCATTTGCAATGTGGTTGCGTGCCCTCGTCCCCTTCTAGCCCTTCCAGCCCATTCGGCCCTTCAGCCCATCCGCGCCGGCAGGCTGTGGGTTCCAAGGGCTGTCGCCTGCCGCGCGTCAAGATACAGGGCCCCACGGTCGGACGTTACAGATTCCAGGCGTCACCTCCAAACGGAAGGTTTGAACTTGGAAAACCACCCAACTGATGCGGCCTAACACATTTGTGTTTTACTTAACGAAGACCTTTGCCACCATTTGCCAACTCGTGGACAGCGGCTTGCACACCGAAGAGAGAGGCTCCTAGGCCCAAGCGTTTTTGCAACTCACAAATAGCGAGTGGCGATCGATGCCCACCGCCTCTTGAAGGACACAAAAAAGAAGAAAAATCAAAACTGTAGGCTACAACACGAAGATTTCCGCAAGCTGATTGCGTTGATTGCAAACCAACCCTAGCATCAAAGGAGCACCCTTCCCCTCCCCGAGCCGTCGTCCCGCCTCCGCTGCCTGGCTGCGGCTCTTCCGCTGGCACCGGCGCCGGCATCGCGCTGTTCGAGGTGGGCACGAAGTATGCCTTGAGAACGGGAGCGAGGCTGCAAGAACGGCCTCTTCTCTCGGGACACCTTTTTGCCAGGCCAGGGTCCAGAGGCGCAAGCGATCGCCAGCGTAACTTGAGAAACGACTCGCGGCCAGGAGGAATCCTGGCACTTGGTTTTCAATCCAAGCAGCTTGGACTTGCGACCCCAACACACTGGCAAACAGCGCGCTTCTCCAACCGCTCAAGCGGGCCACCATGTTCAGGCAGTTAAAGTGGAGTTCGGGCGGTTGAGGGTCGGTCGGCTTGATTCAGAATTGATTTTAGGTTGGTTTGGTGGCAGCACTCCCTGTCCCGGGGCTATTCAAAGGGTAGATGTTTGTTTAGCCTTGGATTGCTGTTGTTTTTGTTGAACCTTGAGGCTTTTTCAGGTCTTGGATGCTTTCCTTCCGACCTTGCCTCAAAATTTCTCACCTTGCCGCCCTAGTAAAGGAGTTCGCACTTCACAGGCTGCGAATCTCAAACAAAAACCTGGCAACGCCCCTCGCGCTCCCTCCACTTGACAAGGATGGATTGCCCTCGCTGCATCCACGACGCTGTTTTCTGGCCAATGTCGAAGACGGTATAGTAGAACATCTCAGTGCACCAAACACCACCGACACAGACACCCAGCTCTTGCCTGAACCTTTGAATGCTGCAACGTGGCAAACACTCAGTGGGTGGAGTGGGATGCATATGCCAATCTCTGCACTTACCACAAACGGGATGGTGAGATAAACCTTCGAGATTCCCAGAAAGTTGGTCGCATGTAGTCCAATGTATGGTTGCCGTGAAAGCTCCAAGGGAAGATACTGGTCGAGCGAGGTGACGTCTCTTTGCTCATGGTCAACCACCGGCCTTCTAGGAACATGACAGTTGGAGGTTTACACTGTCAAAGACCCATCTCCGCCACACCTCTGGCGATTTTTCCGCAAGGAGTATCTCAACCATCCTGCAGATTGGAAGGGCAATGAAAAAACAGGTCATCGCGGAGTTCATTGTATTTGTGTGGAGTTCGGAGCTCAACTTATTGCTTCGGGCTCCCGAGATCCAGCGCTGGAATTCTGGAACTCGCAACTCTTCAAGCGGAACTCGTAGAAAATCGTAAGCCCATGTGTCCGTATCAACCTGCTTCAAGAGGCAAAGATTTCCTCAGCGTGGCACACTTTCTTTGATTCCAATTGTGTTTTGGGATCAGTTCACTTGGGTCGTTTGTAACCAACCCTCTCTTGGGAATATGCCAGGCAATCCCGGGCAAGGAAGTCTAGACCTGTGACCAAACCTCACATCCTACAGCCCCTAGCATTTCTTCCTGTGAAGGTACCCGGTACCCGGGAAAGCCAAAGACAAGTCCTGCCGGAAGCGTTGCCCGGCCAGGACTGAGCCTTCCCCACGACTTTCTTTTCAGGCCCAAGGCACCCAGAGTGGCAGGCCCAGGATCATGCCGTCGTCTGGAAACCAGGCGAGGCGACCGAAAGGGAGCTGCCTGCCCTGTCTATCCATGCGGTAGATATGTTCCCGAGCCCTGAAAGTAGCATTCTGAAGACTCTACTGGGGACTCACCAAGATGTGTGACGAAAACAAATGAAGCTTAACGGCATACCCTTGCATGGTTTGGTCGCTTCCATGTGCCGGGAGTAATGCAACACACGCAGGCCTGCAGTCTGCGTGGATGATCCCAGCACGACTGCCGAATGGGTCAAGAGCTACTAGCGAACTGCCTAGCGACGAACCCAAAGCACCAAGAACCCCTGGCATCCAATGTCTGCAATGTGTGACATTGGGACCTGCTTCACGGCTTTGGCTGATCGAAAGTCTTGCGGGTTGCGAATGTTTTCCACAGGGTGACCTCTTCTGATTTTGAATGCGGGACCAGCAACCAACCAAGCGAAGTGGAAGCAAACAAAACACGCGTCCCCTTGAAGAGCTCTGATTGTATTGGGTTGCCAGGCCCAAACAGGCGCCTGCTCAACCTCCTCCAGCGCGGAGGGTGCTATTCCCCAAAAACTAGAAAGGATCATCACGTAAACCGCACCCCCCGGGCCTGAGTTCGCCTTCATCAGCGCATTCGCCTGCCGCAGCGCCTGCAGGTCGAACTGCAGCAGGGTGGGAGCTCCTCCTGGCCGCGAAGGCGGCGGCCGGGTCCAACCCGCAGGAGCAGCCTTTGGCCGCGAAGGCGCCCGCGGCCGGGTTTCCAGACAGGGTCTTGCCCATGGGAAAGGTTTGCGAGCCGGAAGTAATCGAAGCCAAACCGCAATCTGCCTGTTGTTTCGGACTGGCAAGGAGCCCACTCGATCCTGGCTCGAGGAAGTCATCTTTCAGGAATGAAATTCACAAGCAAATGCTCCCGCTGATTCTCCATCCAAGAGGGAGTCCCCTGTTGACCCTTTGTGGCTTGGCGCACTGCTTCCCCAAGCCAGAATCAAATCAAAAGAATGCCTGTCGCTTGAAGGCACCGTGAAACCATCACGCCTCCTGTTTGTCAACTTCGGGCTGGACTCTGCTACTGGAACATTCTTCAGCAGCTTGGCGGCCCCTTGCCGGCGCCTGCGCCTGCCAGCTGAAAGGTCAGCGACCCCCCGGAGATCTGGGCGTAATTGAAGACCTGCGCAGATGGCGGTGCGACATGGCGGAAGGCAGTGGCTCCCGCCCCAAACCCGCGCCGGGTCCCGCAAACCCAGGCTGCAAACCTCCTCGGGCACCACGATGGCAGGGGTGCCGGTGTCCATGATGCACCTCAGCCGATGGCTTGAGCCCCAGAAAACTGGCTTTGGACTTGGGTGAAGTGTCCTGTCGCCGGGATCAAAGCAAGGACAGAGTCAAATGGAAGAAATAAACGCACAAAGATGAGAACCTCAACCATGCCAGCCACAACTGAAACGCCCCCACTCAAGAACACCAAAGTTCCCCTTTGACATGTTCTTCAGGGAACTGCAGGGAAGTCGCCCATGTTTGGCTGAGCGGCCCCCCTGGGCGGGTTAAGGCGCCCTTTCTTTTGGTGGCTGATTTGAGAGGGAAACGCTCGGGCAACTGGGCAACTGGGCAACTGGGCAACGGCGTCCAAGCCACGTCTTGCCCCGGCTGGGGTCGCACTCCAAGTCTGTGAAGCTCTGGCTGCCCACAGTAATGGATTGCACCTGGAAGCTCACGCTCAGAAGCCCAGCGGGGGCACCCATGTTTCGTTGGTTGGTTAAGGGAAACCCCGCCAAAAAAATGAAAAGGGAAGCACGCCTCCTCTTGTATTGATGCCTCTTGGGAGGGTTGCTCGCAAGGAATGGGTTCACACAAGGCCAATCCAGCCAAGCTCTAAGCGCCGGCCAAGTCGCCTGGATGTCATACCAGCCCAGCTCGCCTGCCAAGCCCAAGCCCAAAAACCCCTGTTCCACCCTCAGACCTCAAACTGCATATATTGTATATGGACTTTCGCTCGTGGCCTTTCAGGGTCGCTGTGGGGTATGGTGCAACAACCCTTGTTCTCCCAAATGCATCCTTTGTGCCACGCTCAACCCGGTCCAAAGGTTCGTTGGGAAATAATTGAACAATGACTGTCGACATGTGCCTTGTCCACTTCCAAAATAGGTTGAGTTGGAACGCCTCGTCTGGTATTCTATCGGTCGGCGGCCAGGCATGTCTGCTCCAAGCACCGCGCCTAGCTGTGCAGGGCCCAGGGCAGAACTGGCATCATAGTGCTGGTTGAGCGTGGCCGCCTCGCCCAAGTAGAGGCTGCCCGCCTCATCTCCTGATAGCCACAGGCCAGTGCCAGAGGTTAGCAAACAGGGGCAATGTGTCTTGGGTTTGGGTCTCAGGCTTTCGTGGCAGGACAAATGGGGAGACGCCCCCTGTACCTCAACCTGACTAGTTCGAACACTATTCCCTCAAATATCGATGTGGACTGCGCTGCGAACCGGTTTTGTAGTCAGCGCAGGAAATCCCCCACTGCCTCTCCTTGTTGCCCAGACCAGTAGATGCCAATCTGCTCCCCGCCCATCGACCTGGCAAGACGGGGGCTCTACTTGAAACATCATCTCCGGCACACCTTGCGTGGCAAAGCACGGCTTGGCGCAGCAAGTTAATTCAAGGCCTTGAAGTTAATACAACAGCTGCAGCCAGTAGAAAGACTTACAAAGAACCGACCAACGCGCAATCTCTCAAGTCGTGAACTTTCGTTCCTAAACTCGCGCCGCAATGTTGCCGTGTTCACGCCATACTTCCGCAACGTGGCAAGCTTGCGTGCATCCATGAACGAATTCACTCACAAACAAACAAACAAACAACCAACCAAACAAACAAACAAACAAACCAACCAACCAACCAACCAAACCAAACCAAACCAAACCAAACCAAACCAAACAAACAAACAAAACAAACAAAACAAACAAAACAAGCAAGCAAGCAAGCAAGCAAGCAAGCAAGCAAGCAAGCAAACAAACAAACAAACAAACAAACAAAAACTAACAAACAAACAAACAAACAAACAAACAAACAAACAAACACACACACACACACATCTCGAGAGGCTTCACTAGCCGAGATGAAAACCGCAGTCAGTAAACATGCTTGAATGCAAATGCAGAGCAACAGGTCACAACATCGACACCGAACAGGAAGCAACAGCGACAAACAGAAACCGCAAAAGGAATCAGGAAAGAGAGATTGCAGGTACGTCCAGCTGGCCACGCTGGATATCCCACTTCACTGGTAGCTTCGTTGGACACAGTCCCAGTGAAGTGCGAAGGGTTTAACGTCCGTGTTCCAGGACGGCTCACACACACAAAGCCCCGGTGGGGCGGACACGAACCACACAGAGGGAATTCCACCAGGGGACCGCCAAAAACCCCGCGGCAACAGCAAAAGAATTTCAAGGACGAAAAACCGGGCGCACAAAACCAAGCAGAGGGAATTCCACCAGGGGACCTCCAAAAACCCCCGGCAACAGCAAAAAAATTCCAAGGACGAAAAACCCGAGCACACAAAAACCACACAGAGGGAATTCCACCAGGGGACCGCCAAAAACCCCGCGGCAACAGCAAAAGATTTTCAAAGACGAAAAACGGAAAAAAAAAACCAAGCACACAAAACCAAACCGAGGGAATTCCACCAGGGGACCGACAAAAAACCCCGCGGCAACGGAAAAAGGTTTCGCAAGAACCGAAAATGGCAGTCAAGGCGTGAACATGAATTGAACTGATCTGAGTCGGCGCAGAGCGTGAACCAATGAACGGCAAAGTCGGTGTCTGACCGGCTTGTCACTCGCGCATGAAGCTGCCGAATCCTGATACCTCATGAGAGCTGCCTTGTTCAAAACGCAGGCAGTGCCATGCGAATGAAGCTGCCGGAGCCTGATACCTCGTGAGAGCTGCCTTGTTCAAAAGGCAGGCAGTGCAATGCGAAGGTGAACTGAACGTGAACTTTTGAACGTCATCCCCTTGCAGGGGGCTCCCGCATATGGCGAGTCCAGCCCACAGCGCCATGTCGGACAGGCCGTGGGTAAACACACTTATCTCGCCAGGCTTCACTAGCCGAGATGAAAACCGCAGTCAGTAAACATGCTTGAATGCAAATGCAGAGCAACAGGTCACAACATCGACACCGAACAGGAAGCAACAGCGACAAACAGAAACCGCAAAAGGAATCAGGAAAGAGAGATTGCAGGTACGTCCAGCTGGCCACGCTGGATATCCCGCTTCACTGGTAGCTTCGTTGGACACAGTCCCAGTGAAGTGCTGTGTCCCCCTGCTCAGGAAAAACTCCGAAGGGTTTAACGTCCGTGTTCCAGGACGGTTCACACACACACACACACACACACCCGCGCGCGCGCGCCCGCACCCGCACGCACACGCGCCCGCACACCAACACCCCAACACAATAACACACCAACACACCAACACCAACACACCAACACACAACAGACACACAAACACATAACACACAACCCACACCCACACCCGCGCGCACACAAGGTGTCACTTGGTGGCCTGCGGAACTTCTGTTTGCAGGTTCGGCGCAAGCTTCCCTTTGAGCCGCTCGCCTCAGGTTGGAGATCAGCGGCGACGGCTCCACACCCGCCGGCCTTGGGCTGTTTTGGGCGCCCAGTCCTCAAATTGCCAGGGTTTGGTGACCCCTCAGTGACGGCTCTTGAAGGCCTTTGACACCTGTGCCTGGGAAATTCCTTCTTAGAAAAGCATGGGAGTTTCATGGTGAATGAGACTACCCCTATTCATGCTTGAGCACTGTAATATCTTGAAATTGAGCTTTCGTCCCTTCAACAAATGACATCATCCCGGAAGGTGACCCCCAAAAACTTAGGATTACGGAATACTTCGCATTATTGCGAAAGGATCAACACCGACTCATGGTTGTATTTACATGGCTTCTCTGCAAATGTGGCAGCTGCTCAGTCTGCAGTGTGCGAGCCCTCCAATGAGCCAAAAGCTCAATCGAGCGCGAAATGACTTGACTGCCTGACATGGTCCATGACGTTTTGGCGACGGCTCGCGGGTTGCAACTGGCCCTCCAACCCCTCCAACCCCGGCCCTCCAACCCTGTTGAGGAATTACAATCACTCGCTGCTGAAAAGAACTCTCACGGCCAAGCCCCGACCCTCCGACCCCCCCAGCCCCGGGAGCCCGACCCTGGGGCCCGGGCTGCTTCGGACAGCTGAGGGAGGTGCCCGGCGACCCAGACCTTGACTCCTGCGCAGTCGGCCAGTCCGGCGACTGCTCGGCGTGGTAGGCGGAGTCCAGCTGCCTGCGGACACCAAACCCAAGGAATCCTTGAAAAAAATTGCCAGTGGGCCCAAAACACGACAGCCACCTCCAATGCTTGCCAAAAATAGCAATCTTGTCACCCTGCCTCCCTTGGAGTGACTAGAGCAACGCCCAGCAGAAATAGGAATCCATCACTCTGGACCACAGGGTGTAGCTGCATATACATTAATGCTAATATCTGTATTTGCAAATAGTTGACCTTGACTGCACCCCTTGGAAGCTCATCGCCTGAACGCAATGCCGAAGATGCCCTGCAGGCCCTGGGTGCATGGCATGTTCAGCTCCTGGGCCACTTGCATACTGAAACAACACCCAAAGGAAGACCTGCACCTGGGCTTCTGCTCACAAGGCCATCCCAAAACTCGCCGCAAGATCGTGCAGAGAATGCGTCCTGCGCCATGATGCTGTAGTCCGCATCCAGCTGGAAGCCACCAAGAAGCACCGGGCCCTTCACAAAGGGACCCCAGTAGCCAGTGGCAGTGCCGCCGGGGTTGTAGATGTTGCAGGAGATCTCGGCACGTCGGTACCAGCCCTCTTGCAGCCGGTTAGTATCAATGGGGAGTGCGCCGCAGCTAACTTTAACGCACTTCGTAGATCCGAACTCCATGTGGCCCATCCTTGTCACATTACCAGCTGGTCGCTCCCTCCCAGCTCGAATCACGAACAAGGCAAGTGCGTGTGGGCAAGTGCGTGTGAGTCAAACGCCGATGCCCACTAGGCGGAATGCTGTCCTCTTCAAAGTACGCGGTCGAAGCTCCCCAAAGTAAGGGAAGGGAACCCTCTTGGGCTGACGAGTTTCTCAAACCCAAGTAACCTTGTCACTTTGAGATGGGCAGCCCCTCACTCTCCGTCTCTTCTCTCGCTCTCTCTATGTCTTGCAGAACCAAGATTGCAACAAACGCAATGCGTCCTAACTGAGACGTTCCTTCAAGGTACCCTCCAGTCCAGAACCACCGCAGCGCAAATGCTTCCACCATTTGGGTCTATGAAAGTGAACTCTCAGAAAAGTAACTTTGAGAAGCCGTCCAAATGCTCGCGCCAAGGAGCGTAGCTTGTTTGCTGGTACTGCGGCTGCGTCGTCAGCGCTTTACTGCAGAAGGCCAAGGTTGACGAGCCTGTATCCAAGACAAGCCTGCGCCAGGCATCGGGCAGAAAGATTGGGCACAGCTGTGCGATCAGCAAGGCCTACTTTGCTAACTGTTGCCTGAAAGCCTTGTTTCCGATCAGTTGCTTGCTTGCAAAGACGTTGCCGGCTCAATTTCACAAAGTACCAGTACAAAACTGCCCTTACCCCCGATTCACTACCAGCCCCCTCAAACGAATCGAACTCCCAAGGAATGATCTGATTCTAGCTGACTGTCGGCGCATTCGTCGGCTAGAAAGCAAGGTGGTTCAACACGCTCAACTGGATCTAAGTCAGAAGCCAGCAGGACGGCACGGCACTTTTGGCCAACCCAACCAGCAATCCAATCCACCCCAACAGTCCTGAACCAGAAGCTTCTAAACCAACCCAAAAACACCGAGGAATTTCGCATTGCAGCAACCTTCCAGCAAAGGCGGGCCGAGCTTGCAAAGGCGGGCCGAGCTTGCAACCAAACCATGCCAAGGCGAAAGGCACTGAATTTTAGAGGCATCTGTGCAACCCGCTGGCCTCTGCTTGGGGCTGGAGGCGTCGGAGCCCGGCGACACGTCCACCAATAGGCGCAGGTCCCCCCCCCACATGCCCGCAGCCAGCGGCACTGCGGGCACTGCCTCAGCATGCTGGGCATGGGGCTGGGATCATGCAGGGTGGTGGACACTTGGGGCCGACTTGTTACAGTGCAACCTCCTTCAAAATAGCTGGCCCTATTGGGCTTTCGGCCTAGCACGGCAGAGATCATGGGATGGAGAACCCCCCCGTCGCAAGATCTGCAGGGTCCAAACATGTTCAAACCACAGCAAATCAGCCAAGAAAAGAGTAGTTTGGTGTTCCCCAGCACCAAGTTCTGGCCTTTGCTAAGGAGCAACTCCCCTTGAATTGAGATCTGGGGCATTTTAGGTCCTCTGAGTCGACTTCTAGTGTTAGACCCCCAATTGGAATAGACCCTCTATGTAAAAGTGTTTTCCTAATTTCGGATCCTGTGACTGCTTTGGGGATCCCCATACAAGCAAACAAATCCGGGCAAACAGTAGGCAGTCTTTCTCTTGAAGTGGTCCCCAAACCATCAAATTTAAGATAAATTCTTTACAAAAAAGTACGGGCAAACAGTCACACAAAGGGGGTTGCCCACAAGGGGCCCTGAGTGTGACTGTTTTGGGGCCCTCTTGAGTGTCCAACCGTGTTTTGGGTTGCTGAAAAACCGGTCCTGGGCAATCCTAAAGTAGAATTAGCAATACTAAGTAAGTACTGGGAATCTGAGAGTCGGCCTTGGCAATATTAAAGGAGAATTGGCAGTACCACAGTAAGTACTGGGAATCTGAGAGTCAGCCTTGACAATACTAAAGTAGAATTGGCAATACTAAAGTAAGTACTGGGAATCTGAGAGAGTCGGCCTTCGCAACACTAAAGGGGTGCGGATTTATTTTAGGTGTGTTTTTTGTTTTTCCTTTTTCTTTTCTTTTTTTGGATTGTTTGTTTTTCGTTTTTCGTCCGGGCCAGTAAAATGTCGTATTTTACAGCATTTTCTCGCGACATTGACGCATGTTGCACTAACCCGCCAACATCCCCAGCATCGTGTTCAACATCCTCCGCATGTCCAACCAACGTCCCTAGCATCACCAACAAATCGTGGGTAACATAATCAAAAGTAGCTGGCGGGTTGACGGGGTCAAAAAATGATGCAAATAGGAGGGCATTGCAATCCCTGTAAAAAAGGAAAAACTAAAAAGTGGCGGGGGGCTTGGGGGGGCCCCCCGTGATGTTCACAGAAGTGATGATTCGAATAGCTCTCCAAAAAGTCTAAAAAGTAGCGGGGGGGTTGTGGGGGCGGCAGCCCCCCCTTGATGTTCGAAGAAGTGATGATTCAAATAGGGGTGCAATTAAATCTCTGTAGAAAATCTAACACGTACCCCCATGATGTTCGAAGAAGTGATGATTCAAGGTGGGGTGAAATGATTCAAGAACGGGTGCGTTAGAATTTAACAGGCAGCGGGAGGGTTGGCGGGGGTGGCTTCCCCCATGATGTTCGAAGAAGTGCAACATACAGACATACATGGATTACATAGATTACCTAAAATGTCGTATGTTACAGCATTTTCTCGCGAAATTGGACGCTCGAAAAAGTGATGATTCAAAAGGGGTGCAATTAAATCTCCGCAAGAAATCTAAAAGGTAGCGGGGGAGGGGGGGTGCAACTACTCTGCAAACAATCCAAAGAGTAGCAGGTGGGTGGGGGGGGAGCCCCCCCATGATGGTCGAAGAAGTGATGATTCAAATAGGGAGAAAACTGGTGATGCTGATGCTGCTGGAAGCCAAATCCAAAAACCAACGCAAGCTGCAAAAACAAAAACACCCGGAGAGGAACTGGGAAAGCGGAGGATGCGAAAAGCCAAAGCCGCATAAACCAGCGACAAGACGCAAAAGCCAAAACGCTACCTGCCGAAGATGAACTGGGAATGCAGCGGATGCGAAAAGCCAAAGCCAAAAAGCCACTAAAAGCCGCACAAACCAACAAGAAGCCGAAAAGCCAAGAAGCCGAGAAGCCAAAAAGTCAAGAAGCCAAGAAGCCGAGAGTCCAAGAATCCAAAAGGCCAAGAAACCAAAAAGCCAAAACGAAAAAAACACCAAACAAAAAACGGAAAGGAAAAAAGCAAAAACATCCTAAAATAAATGCCACTCCATCCTAAAGTAGAATTCGCCGTACCAAACTAAGTACTAGGATTCTGAGAGTCAGCCTTGGCAATACTAAAGTAGAATTGGCAGTACCAAAGTAAGTACTGGGAATCTGAGAGTCAGCCTTGGCAATACTAAAGGAGAATTGGCAGCACCAAAGTAAGTACTGGGAATCTGAGAGCCAGCCTTGGCAATACTAAAGTAGAATTGGCAGTACCAAAGTGAGTACTGGGAATCTGAGAGTCAGCCTTGGCAATGCCAAAGTAGAATTGGCAATGCTAAAGTAAGTACTGGGAATCTGAGAGTCAGCCTTGGCCATGTTAGACTAGGATTGGTAGTACCACAGTAAGTACTGGGAATCTGAGAGTCAGCCTTGGCAATACTAAAGTAGAATTGGCAATACTAAAGCAAGTACTGGGAATCTGAGAGTCTGCCTTGACAATACTGAAGTAGAATTGGCAATACTAAAGCAAGTACTGGGAATCTGAGAGTCAGCCTTGGCAATACTAAAGTAGAATTGGCCGTACCAAAGTAAGTACTAGGAATCTGACAGCCAGCCTTGGCAATACTACAGTAGAATTGGCAGCACCAAAGTAAGTACTGGAAATCTGAGAGCCAGCCTTGGCAATTCTAAAGTAGAATTGGCAGCACAAAAGTAAGTACTGGTAAAGTAGACTTGGCAATGCTAAAGTAAGTACTGAGAATCTGAGAGTCAGCCTTGGCAATACTAAAGTAGAATTGGCAATACTAAAGCAAGTACTAGGAATCTGAGAGTCAGCCCTGGCAATACTAAAGTAGAATTGGCAATACTAAAGTAAGTACTTGGAATCTAAGAATCAGCCTTGACAATATTAAAGTAGAATTGGCAGTACCAAAGTGAGTACTGGGAATCCGAGAGTCAGCCTTGACAATGCCAAAGTAGAGTTGGCAATGCTAAAGTAAGTACTGGGAATCTGAGAGTCAGCCTTGGCCATGTTAGACTAGGATTGGGTAAGTACTGGGAATCTGAGAGCAAGCCTTGGCAATACTAAAGTAGAATTGGCAATACTAAAGCAAGTACTGGGAATCTGAGAGTCTGCCTTGACAATACTGAAGTAGAATTGGCAATACTAAAGTAAGTACTGGGAGTCTGAGAGTCGGCCTTGACAATACTAAAATAGAATTGGCAATACTAAAGCAAGTACTGGGAATCTGAGAGTCAGCCTTGGCCATGTTAGACTAGGATTGGTAGTACCACAGTAAGTACTAGGAATCTGAGAGTCAGCCTTGGCAATATTAAAGTAGAATTGGCAGTACCAAAGTAAGTACTACGAATCTGAGAGTCAGCCTTGGCAATACTAAAGTAGAAATGGCAGTACCAAAGTAAGTACTGGGAATCTGAGAGTCAGCCTTGGCAATACTAAAGGAGAATTGGCAGCACCAAAGTAAGTACTGGGAATCTGAGAGCCAGCCTTGGCAATACTAAAGTAGAATTGGCAATACAAAAGTAAGTACTGGGAATCTGAGAGTCAGCCTTGGCAATATTAAAGGAGAATTGGCAGTACCACAGTAAGTACGGGGAATCTGAGAGTCAGCCTTGACAATACTAAAGTAGAATTGGCAATACAAAAGTAAGTACTGGGAATCTGAGAGTCTGCCTTGGCAATATTAAACTAGGATTGGTAGTACCACAGCAAGTACTGGGAATCTGAGAGTCAGCCTTGGCAATACTGAAGTAGAATTGGCAATACTAAAGTAAGTATTAGGAATCTGAGAGCCAGCCTTGGCAATTCTAAAGTAGAAGTGGCAGCACCAAAATAAGTACTGGGAATCTGAGAGCCAGCCTTGGCAATACTAAAGTAGAGTTGGCAATACTAAAGTAAGTACTGGGAATCTGAGAGCAGCCTTGGCAATTCTAAAGTAGAATTGGCAGCACCAAAGTAAGTACTGGGAATCTGAGAGCCAGCCTTGGCAATACTAAAGTAGAGTTGGCAATACTAAAGTAAGTACTGGGAATCTGAGAGCAGCCTTGGCAATTCTAAAGTAGAATTGGCAGCACCAAAGTAAGTACTGGGAATCTGAGAGCCAGCCTTGGCAATACTAAAGTAGAGTTGGCAATACTAAAGTAAGTACTGGGAATCTGAGAGCAGCCTTGGCAATTCTAAAGTAGAATTGGCAGCACCAAAGTAAGTACTGGTAAAGTAGAATTGGCAATACTAAAGCAAGTACTAGGAATCTGAGAGTCAGCCCTGGCAATACTAAAGTAGAATTGGCAATACTAAAGTAAGTACTGGGAATCTGACAGTCAGGCTTGGCAATACTAAAGTAGAATTGGCCGTACCAAAGTAAGTACTAGCAATCTGAGAGCCAGCCTTGGTAATACTAAAGTAGAATTGGCAGCACCAAAGTAAGTACTGGGAATCTGACAGCCAGCCTTGGCAATACTAAAGTAGAGTTGGCAATACTAAAGTAAGTACTGGGAATCTGAGAGTCTGCCTTGACAATTCTAAAGTAGAATTGGCAGCACCAAAGTAAGTACTGGTAAAGTAGAATTGGCAATACTAAAGCAAGTACTAGGAATCTGAGAGCCAGCCTTGACAATATTAAAGTAGAATTTGCAATACTAAAGCAAGTACTAGGAATCTGAGAGTCAGCCTTGGCAATATTAAAGTCGAATTGGCAGTACCAAAGTAAGTACTGGGAATCTGAGAGTCAGCCCTGGCAATACTAAAGTAGAATTGGCAATACTAAAGTAAGTACTGGGAGTCTGAGAGTCGGCCTTGGCAATACTAAAGAATTGGCAATACTAAAGCCCCCAGGATTTTCTCCAAAGACGGTCCAGCTGACTGGCTGCACCGTTCGAGGCGGGGAGGGCCCCGTGAAGGTCCAACATGCATTCTGAGCGAACCTCACTTGGACTGTCAGTCCAAGCGGCCGACTTCGTCTCGCCGGCGCTCGCATTTCTCTGGCCCGCATTGCTCTGGCCCACGCCAGTTGCCGCCTGCAACAAAGGTGAGTGAGCCCAGCCAGTGGCTCGGGGGAACCGCTGGTAAATCTGGACCAACCTGCAACCAGAACAGGGGAAGTTGCAAACGCTGGAGGACTGAGCTTCTCTGAATTCTGGGAAAGGCAGGCCATGCAAACCATGGAGCCTTGGTAGTAGATGCATAGTTTCCGCCAATCTCCACACAGGAAAGCGAGGAAAGTTAGGACGTGTGTTGAGAAACCCTAAGGATCACCGGTGGAAAGAAACACACGACCCCCTCGCAGCCTCTATTGGGAGACAAGTTAACGAACGCATTAATCTGAGTCCAGGCTAAGCCATCTCTCTCCTATGTCACAAGCTGGTGCCTAGAGGATGCCTGCGTTGTTCAAGCGGCATGCAGTCAGTGGCACACTCCCCCACAACAAGTAAAAGACATCAAAACAACTGGAGAACTGTGCCGCCAGACGCTCGCCTATGTGGACGACGATGGCTTTTGGAGCACAGCCAAAGTTCCAAAGAAACCATTTCAAAGTCCTTTCAATGAAGGCTCCGACTTCCGCGCTTGCGCCTGAATGTTCTCCATAATTTCGCAGCCCTGCAGCAGAAACGCTGCCGCTGCCGCCAGCAGCTGAAAAGCCCTGGCACGGAGCTGGTGCAAAATTAGATAGTCGTCCAGTCAAAGTGGCCAGGCACACGCTCGTTGTTTGAACAGGTCGCTAACCAGTGAGGCTTGCCTTCGACAGCCCCCAGGACGTGCCCTACAATAACTTCTCTACCAAAAAGAGTATGGCTCTGCTTTGTCCGACTCTAAACCAAGCTGTTCAACAAATCCATGGCCGACTTGCTTTCAACCGGGTGAAGAAACGTCTTCCAGGAATGCCAGGGTCTACTGTTTGAGCAGGGATATGCCTCCGAATGAGTCCTCGCCAACAAAATCCACTGCGCCGTGGGAAGCCAGCCGCTATCAACTGACCATTTTGTTTCACCCGCGAGATGTTGCCATATGGTCAATGTTCAAGCCCCAAACGAAGAACTCAAATCTGATCTAACACCGGGTCACCATCACTAGACCAGAAGCTATCATCTTACCAAACGTTGGCCCACTAAAACTGTCCAAATTGAAGCATACGCCGTCACATCTGCCGTGGTTCTCCTTCCGGCAAGCCCGGTGCCTCCGTTGCAGGGCCATTGGCGCTCGCTCCGGGCCTGCTTCTGCAGTACAAGCGAAGCCTCCTCCAAAACACACCCCGGGAACCTGTATCACACAGCAGGCGAGCTGTTTGTCTTCGTGCCTGTGCGGAATATCGCAAAACATGGGCAGAAGCCAACAATCAGCTGAGCTCAATGGGTGTAGAGCTTGTGGACAAGTAAGTACAGCTGGGCCGAGAAGCTGCAGTGCGGCGGGCTGGAGCCGAAGCGACGCAAAGGCAAGCTACACAGGCCCAAAATAATGATCTTCCTTTTGGTGTCCCTTTCAGCCAACCTGGAAAGGGCACCCTCAACAACACATAGAAACATATATATATATATACACATACACATGGTATCAACGAGTAGATGTCAAAAGCTCGCTCAAGAAGCCCTTTATCACTAGTCAGCAAGCCGACACGCATACCGTTCATCAGGCGTGCCTAGGCGAGCGTTCCACTGCCTGGCCAGAAGGAAGCTCTTCTCACCTTATAACCAAGGCAAAAGAAGCTCTATGAAGCTGCCTAAATACCACCCGAAGTCGGAAGCTGTTCCTCTTTGACCCCAAGGCAGGATACTTCATCGACCTGTCCTGCTTGGATCCATCAATTGAAGGGCTTAGAATTCCAGGGTACTTCAAGATGTAGCATGTGGAACAAAAGCCAGCTGATGGAACATACAAACACCACCTTCCTGTCAGCTTCCATGATTGTTGGAAGGAGGCTACCCTTGGCAGAGCTTGTTGACTGCAGCAAAAACTATGATGTCAAGACGTGCTCGGGTAAAAGCTAACCAAGGAAAGCCATGGTTCACACAGACCCACACACACACACATTGGCACCAATGAACCAGGCGCTGACACCCTTTCTGCACATTTTGAACAAGTGATCAGGTGGCCCTATACCCTGAGAAAAACCATGGGGAAACCCTGTGCAACCTCTGGGAATACACTGATTTTTTCTTGAGGAAACTCTGGGAACTGGGAAAACGCCTGGAAACAAAAAAACCTTGGGAAAATCTTGGAATACTGGATAAAACCCCCCGATTAATACGCTGCGGAAAACCATGGGATACAAAAAAAGCCGAAAAGTTGGGCGGAAGCTCCTTATGTTTCCAAAGGCTAACGGGCTACGGTCAACAGCTGCTCCTTTGTCGTCAGCGCCAAGACTCTGGAGGCCCTTTTGGCGTCCCTTGAAAAGGGTGTCTCTTTATTTTAAACCCCGCAAATGGGTGGTAATCCTGCTGGTTCCCTTGGGGTTTTCCTGTTGGTTTCCCTTTGAAACTCCTTTGAAAAAGGGGAGACCCTCAAACACAGACACCCCCGAAAGCAACCGAAGGGTAGCCTTAAAAAAGAGACACCCATGTAGAGGCAAGCCTGTTGGCCTTGCTTGGGTTTTCAATACCGAAAAAAGGGCACACTCCAAAAAACACCCCCGACTTATCTCGGTTCAATATTCTGCTACAGGCATTCCAGGAAGGGCATTGAGATATTCCTCTCCGGCTTCCCCCCCGGTCCATGTTTGCGACCTTCTTGAGGGTTTAAGCGTGTGAGAGTTTGATTTTGAACTCCGTGTCCATTGCATGCACCCCCCTTGAGTTTCATGCGCCATCAAGTCGCTCTCTTGCAAAAGTGAAGACATGTCAGACTAAAAGCATCCGAATCAGTCTCATTCTTCACCCTAGGGATGGACGCCTCGGTTTTGCTGGCCGAGCCAGGACGAAAGTCTTCACCTGCCATATTCAAATCATGGTGTTGCCATCTGATCTCGCCTCCGCTACACCGGTAAATATATGCAGTTCCTTCATTTGAGCTTGCATTCGCGCTGCATGTAGGCCAGCCTAGTCCCTAGCATTTTGTTGATGTCACAAATCCATCCGGATTTATCAGGGGAGGTTTGCTTTCAGGTCCGGATTGGCCAAATCCTCCGGCGATCTCCGGCCCATGGTTCAAAGAGCAATGGGAAAACATCAAACCAGGAAACTTGAAAGCCTACCTTCACCCCAAACATGACAATCCCAACCTCGTTGAGTCGGAGGCGAGCTTTGCCGCCAGCCAGGAAGAGCCCTTTGGGTGCCTTTCGTGTGCCCTTTGGGTTGCCTGTGGAATTGACACAAGTGGTGGTTGAAAGGCCCGGATCTGCAACAAAAGATGGCTGAGGCTTGAAGTGTGACCCATGGCTGCTGGATAACGCACCACATCTCCACACATGTCCCGCCCATTTTGAGCCAACGCTGCGTGGCTGCTTGGCTCTTGGCCTGTGTCCAGCTGACTACGAACCAACACAAATCCGTAGATAATTGTCATTGAAAAACTATCAACCTATAACCCAAAACTATCAACCTGTGACCCAATGCGGAAAGAACCACCACAGGTTCCTGTCCACTGAGCCTTTGACCATTTGGCTTGTCAACCTCCGGCAAGCATGTGATTCTAGGCTTTCAAAATTCACATGAGAGCGAGCGCCAAGCGGAAAAGAAGAGACTTCACCGACCATCTGTTGTACATCCCTACCTTGAACAAGTGACGGCATACATGTTTTGAGTTGTTTGTCTAAAACTGTGTGTACGTTGAGAACATTCAAACGTTGCCTCTGAGGGGTTGTCACGACTCCGATCCACCCCAAAGGCAAGCAGCTCCAGAACTCAACAGCCAGTGCGACAAAAACGCCCGCCAAGCGCGCACCTTTTCCTCTGGTGCGGTGTTGCTTAAGCTATTTCTCATGGACCGTTGTGCATAGCTCTGAACATGCCAGTGGAGCATCACCAACTCTCGGAGGAGCCTTTTCAGCCATGCTCTTCCTCTTGCGGCACATTGCGGTCCGTGTGTATAATCCCGAATGCTACATGCCGCAGCAAGCCAGCAGTCGGGCAAAGGAGAAAAGCACCTCTTGATCTACTGTGCCTGTCCCAACAATTCCTTGCTCCCAGGGCCAGTATGTTTCTCTTTGCATCTTCGCATTTTTGCAGCTTTGCGGCTTATCCGCGGTCTCCGTCAGTGAACCCAAGTGAACCATGCGCCGAACAGCGATTGCTGTTCCCGCAGGTGTCAAAGGAGTGCAGCGTTCCGCGGCCTGCGCGCACCTTTCCGCAAGCGCTGTTTGGTTGAAATGGGGGCCTTGCACAGTGGCACATCTCAACGGATCTGGGCGCCAAAATATTGGTATGAACTGGAGGTGCTCTTTCCATGAGGGGCGCCAAGCGCCCTATCCATCCTGCACTCCAACCAGCAAAAAAAACAAGGCATCCCAAAACAACCCAGCCACGGGTACAGCGGCCTGCCTTTGCCTGCAACGAAACTTCAGCGACACAACGAACTTGCCGACTCCGCCGAAAAGTATGGCGGAGGCACAAAGCAGCTGCCGCTTTCGGAGAAAGAACAAGCTGCATAGTTCACCCGAAACAAGGAATCCACAATGCATGGGGCCTTCATGGGTGAGCCTTAGCGTCTTGGATTCAGCGTAGGGTGTAGGGTCGTCCCGCTCCCCTCAGCTTAAAACCGATGTGGCTGAAAGGTGTTCCGCCCCCAAGTGTGAATCGGGCTCCCTTTCAGACTTCTGCTGGGAAACCTGGAGCATTCCTCATGCATCGGTTCGGAGAGTAGTACCTGAGTTAGCATGGTTAGGCGACCGCCAACCTCTGAAAGCGCAAGTCGCTGACAACCCGAGAAGCGAAGCAGCTCCGTTCGGCAGTTTGTGCAGTTCGCTTGTGGCCTGGACCTCTCACTTCAAGGCTGCCTCGAGGGTGAAGTAGCTTGGGACCTCGGGAAGTCTCACTCTGGGCCGGTGAAATGAACATGTGGGGATTTCAAAAAACTACGCCTGGAGGTTCCCTGACATAGAGGGTAATTTGAGCATGGCACCTGGCTGGACCCAGCCAAGAGTCTATGACTCATGGAGAGACTGTCTCTCTCTCTCTCTCTCTCTTAGGATATGGATCCACAACTAAAAAGCCGGGCACCCACCGGCGTTGGACAATTTGTATCATAGCTGCCCTCAAGTAAGTGTCCTGCAATGACTAGCAACTGACGGTCGAAGCCTCTGAGTATGCAGGATGGGCTCAAAGCTCTAGCACCATGATTGTTTCAATGAAAGTTCTCGGCGGTAAGCTTCATGGTCCACAATTTCGGGTGCTACCCTTGACAAAAACCCGGCAAAATCCATGGGCCGCTTCAAGCCCACGAAACCTTGGTCGGGCCGCTTTTGGGAAGCAAGGTCCATCCCTAGAAAGCTAACCAATGGTTCAAGAGTGATGAAATCAATCATGGGCGAGGTTGTATATACAGGCCAAGCGTGGGCATGAGTTTAATTTAGCACCCTTTGGTGCACATCATGCACAAGGGGATATATGATTCATGTCCATGATCCCAAAACAATCACCTCAACTAAAATCAAAAAAAACGGGGGGGGGGGGATTCTATTTGCTTGGGAGTCGCGCCCCTAAGCAACCATATCCCCGGATGTTTGGTTTGCACCCCTAAACCCGGCCCGGCCGGCCCGGCCGGCGAGGCGGGCGAGGCCCGCTCCGGGACTCCGGGACTCCGGGACTCCGGGACTCCGGGGCCCCTGGCCGCGTGGACGTCGCCGAAGGCCGCCACCGAGAGCTTGGAGCCCAACATCTTCTTGGCGCAGCTGGCCACCTGGCGAAACGGAATCCGGGAAGGAGCCGAGCCGACTTCCGCGGAGCCCAAACGGTGACGCGTCGGGAAAGAGAAGGGCCGACTTGTTTCTGTGACATGTCAGTATTTGCCCCTCTGACCGTAACCCCTTCGGAGAAAAATGACTAGTCCGATACCGAAATGACACAAAGATACCATGGCCCGTGTGTGATGCCAGCAGCCAATCCCACTTCACAAACATTTGTTTTTTTCGCAGTTTCGTGCCCCTAAAACACTCACACAGCCCGCGCAGCCTGCGGAGCTTCAACCCGAACGGAAACTTGATGTTCCATCCCGTTTTCCAAAGACGGAGGGTTGGAATTCCAAGATGTTCAATCCTTGGAGGGCTCCAAAGGAAGCCTTGGCAAACAGAGCAGACACCTTTGGGAAAAGGATCAAAGCCAGCGATTGGGGCGTGAACTTATGAACCCATGCTGTCTCGGAACACGTGTCATGGTTCAAAGGCACACAAACACAAACGCTATCCAGATGTTCTTCTGAGAAGTAGGTCCTTGGTTCGATTTGGCTGGTTTGGCTTGGCTTGGTGTGTAGTTTGGGGTCATGCCCATGCTTCCCACCAGTATCAAGCATGTGTGGCCACTGGCTTCATGGTGGAGCATTCTGGGGGTGTAAGCGGCCGCCCTCCTTTGCCCAGTTTATCCATCTAGTGGGGCCAGCAGTCCAATAGGTGGTCCAGGCGGTCAAACAGCTATGATCTAACAAGAGGGGACCGACAATCTCCACCCTCCCATGCCACAGGACGCATTGACAGCCTCCTGAAACGGAGGATCTTGGTGGACTGGAAATGCGGCCAACACGGAAACTGTCCAAACATTTGGTCATGCACAGCGAGCAAAGAACCAATCGTCTTGAACGCCCTCCAGCGCGCCTCAGCCTCCGTCACGGCGTCGATGATCTTCGCGAACTCTGCGGCGGAGCCGTACCTCGCGACTGCTCGCAAAGCAACCAACAAAGCCTTCCACTTGTCGCTTTGATTAAGAAGCCCCTTGTTGGCTTTTCACTTGGACTGCGGTTGCTGTCCACTTTGACATCGACAGCTCTCGCCTAAGGGCCGGTGCAACAGCCAAACCCGTGGCGGCACATCAGCGCGACTGTGGTTTCCCCCTTTGTCTCTGGACCAAACTGCCAGTCCAAACCACCCATCTGTGAAGGATCGAGAACAGAGAAAAACACATCTTGGTGCAAACCCGCGGATTCTCCGACAAGGAGTGTTCGGAGGTTCCTTGCTGCCAAACATGAAGAAACGTGGACCAAAACGACAATTCTGACGAAAGGGTCCTCCCCCAAGAGGCGTTGTATTCCAGGCTGGCGTCAGGCTTCAGGCTTGTTCCTTGGGAGGGAACTTGTGTTTTGCTTGTACAACATCATGGTCACCATATCCATGCATGTGCATATATTGCGCTATTTGTGTGTGTGTGTGTTCTTCCTCATTCCTAAGCCTGACCTGACACATAGGATCCCACCCACGAATCCAGAACCCTAGTCACTGCATGATCCCTTGTGCTGTTCCGCTGACAAGCAGGCGAGACCCACAAGTTCTCTGCACCGGCACATCATGGTCCTTTCCTTTTCAAGGGGGGACGATTGATGTCTTGGCAACGGCCTTTGGTGGCCTGCGCACAGGACATAGGGCCCCGAGTTGCAGCGCGTTTGGCCTGCAGGGCACTTGCCGGTCAGCAGCAGCTGCTGGCCCATGTCCGCCATGAGCTCCTTGTCGTTGTCAGCCTCAGGACCAGCGCCAAACATCGTGTGCCAGGTCTAAGCATGGGCCAAACATACAAATGACATGACCCGCTACCAGCACAGGGCTGCTTCGCAATGCACCTAGCAACCCGGACGCAAGAGGACCCACTTCAGTGCTCTTGGGCGCACTTGTACTAACTCTGTACACCCCTCTGGGTTCCCGTTTCCTGATTGTCCCTGCCAACTGAGAAAGAGGCGATTCCGATTGCAGAGTCTTTTGATGTCTAACCAAACTCATTTTGTTTCTTGGTGCGGTCTGGAAAGCGAGCCTCTCTCTCGCTCCTCGCCTGGCGGAAGATCTTGCCCTTGAGCATGGCCTTCGCCTTCGCGAGCTCCTCCTGAACAAGAAACCACGCAGCCGGCAGGTTTCTGGTCAAGTGGTCCAACCGTGTAAAGAATCAGAACGGAGATGCACACCTAGATGATCCGTCCTTGTGGCTCAGGTGCCTTGAATATTTGCTGTCAGGTAATGTCGGGCTCAACATAGCGAAGAAGTTATTGAAAGACCCACAAGCTTTGAGCACTGCAAGCTGGAAAGGGTACGCACCAGTGTTGCGCAGCTACATGACATTGATCCACAGGGTCCTACATCAAGTGGCGAGTATGAACGGCCTCGAGACCCTTACCCTGAACACGAAAGCATTCTTAGCCCTCGAAACTCGCACTGTGGCTTGAGAGAGGAACATATGCATTAGCTATAATTTCAAGCACTGCTCAAACGGAGAGCTCTGATGTAAATCGCTTCCCTGAGTTTGCAACCGTTTGGGCAGCACATCTCAGGTAGGTTTCATGTTTACAAACACTATCCGGAAAATCAGCAGTGCTGCGTATGCTACATTTCCTTGCATCCCACATGTTTGCTATACGCCAAGCTGATAGCGGATCGTGCCATGTCACCCGCGGAATGGGATTGCGTGAACATCCCACTGCTGAACAACTCAACATCCTCGAAAGGAAGTGTCCTTCAATGTTCACTTGGGATCCCATCTGATGTTGTCCCGCGCTGGGCGCTGCGACATTCTGACGTTCCCTGGTTTCTCGTGTGTGTACTCACAAAACAGCAAGACAGGGCTTTGAGTATGGCATCACATTCCACTTTCAGCTGAAATAGCGGTACTTTGCATGCCACGCTCGGTGTCAAAGGGGAGCACAGCCGCAATCTCACCCTGCTTTTGCCATCGCCCACATCCAGTACCGAGGGGCTACGAGCAGCTGCACGAATCCCACCTTTTGGATCCCCTCGCAATCGATGGGGATACGAACCCAAGTTGTTTCCTGTCATGTTTCCTGTTCTCACACGACCCCTTGCTTGCGTCTTCGTGTGCCAGGCCCCCCATGGACGAAATTTGAAAAAAAGGCCACGCGGCCGACTTGCTGTCCAACGACGTGAGCAGTACAGGTACACGTTACGCACAAACTTCCCCATGAAAAAACGGCAAGTCATGTTGAATCCCCCCCGCGGCATTCAGCGCATGGGCCTTGCTCACTGTGGGCAAGCCCTTCAAGGCGCCCGCCATGGCCTTCGCCATGTCCCCCGCCTGGATCGAAGCAATCCGTCCACTGGTGGCAGAAAAAAAAGAAGAAAAAAAACGGGGAGGGAACCCCGGGGCGTTGACCCCCACCCCAATTCCATGTGGTCTGGAACAAGTCCCGGGGCACCTAAAAGCGGCTTGCGTGACTGAGTCACAGGCAGACGCGCTCCGGCTGATGCACCGTTAAATCATTTGCTCGCCGCAACACAGGCGCGACCTCCTGTTGAAGTCGTTCAGCAGATCGAAACAATGACCCCACCGATCCCCCGCAAATTGTGGGCTGCACAGCAAGGACCCATCAGCCCGGCCTTGCCAAATGAAGATGTTTTGTTTTCCACAAGGGACAACATGTGCCATCAAAGAACAAACACCAGTCAAACATTGTGTTTGTCCACCCAATCAACCACCAAACCCATCTTTTGCCCCAGGTCTGCCTTCTCTGCTTGGCACACGCCATAGACGCCGAAGAGGCCGGAGTCCGAGTACCTGACGAGCCAATGCCTCCACCTGACGTTAAAACATCCTGGCGCGTTTCCACTTGCCATGAACACTTGTCAACCACTCAAACTGAATCAACGTTCAAGAGCCACGGAACCGAGGAACACACAGCGCTGATGTGAATGAAGCGATGCATATGCAAGGATCGTCTCGTAACAGCACCATTTGGAGCCAGCGGTGATCGTTTTGATCCTGCTGCTCATTGAAAACTGTGATGACCTCTTTGAAAACAGCTGTGATACGGGGCAAATTGCTGATGCCAGGGAAGAACCTGGTTCCTCAAGAAGGGAAGTAGAAGCTAGCTCCTGGCAGCGACTCACATTCTCCTGACCCATTTTTTTAGCCTGTCACAACCACAGACCCAGATGTCCGATCTTCCAGGGGCAAACATTCAGGGAAGAACGCCCCCCCTCAACATGTGCACCGGCCCTTTAGAAACTTGAAGGCAAGACGGCAGTAGTTGCATCACCATAGGTCATGGTCAAAATCTCTGTGGTGCATCCTCCAGAAATCGAAGGCCGAAGGCAGTCAAATGCGCCAAAATGGATGGGTGTTCCCTTTTGTGTCCCCTCAAAGCAACCTGAAAAGGTACCCTCAAAAAGGCGCGTGCACACACACACACACACACACACGAAGTAATTGTGCGCCGAAACGAGAAGGATCCCTCCAAATGTTTCTTGGTCAGTCCTGTCCTTGTATGTCCGCAATACACATCACTCCACCAATCTCGAAAAAGCGCACCCAGGGTCCCGGGTTTTGACACAAAACCAATGGCGCGCGCATTGATTCGCTGGCGTGTGCTCTCTCGGGTTGGGCACGAGGTGTTGAACGCAGTGCAGGACTCCACGTAGGGGCTCTGCTTCACAATCTGACAGTCGGTGGCATGGTTTGAGAGAAGCCAAAGGAAACCACCCCCGAAAAGGTCCCTCATTTTGAGAAACAAACACCGTGTGACCGAGGACCACGGCTCATTGGAGGGCCCTTTGCAAAAAGTGATCTGTTGCCTGCCCCGCAACAGGTTGCCTTACAAGTCTGCTTGGAAACCCGCAGGAAACCCGCTTACAAGTCTGACTGGTAGGGTTCCCCCATTTTGAGCTCGACCTCGTCTCCGTTTCCATCCGGCGTCCGAAGAAAAAGCCCCCGGACGCCCGGACGCCTGTGTGGAGAGGCGGCTGGTCACCCCGGAGCCGACGCCGCTGTAGAGGGCGGAGCCGCCCCCCAAGATCTCCTCGACACCAAAAGGCAACCCCAAATGTTTGGAGCAAATTCCAGGTACCTCTGGTGTGGAACCCGGGACTTAACCAAATTTGAGTCGCAATCAAAACCCTTTGTATTAAAATGGTCGTAATCCCAGAACCATGCGTCAAGAATTAAGAAGGCGGATATCCGCAACTATTTCTGGCTGGGACTGCCGCTTACTAACGTTCATCTACCCGGGTTTTGATTGTGGCTCGAATACTTTGAGCAAATTCCAGGTACCTCTGGTATGGAACCCGTGACTTTTGGTCTAGTGCTTGTCTTTTTGTGTAATGCGAACGTTGGGGAATATTCCACTCAACTTTATTGATAGAATGTTGTTCCATTCCAGAGTGAACCCTTCGCTTTTTGGGGTAAGCACTTCTCAAAATGGCCCCATTGTTTCCGGACTCAAACAGCAGGGACGACAAGTTCATGCCCTTCAAACATCGGGGTCGACATGACCCTGTCAAGCGACCAACGTGGAATTCCCGACCTCTGATCCAGGGTCCCACTTTCTTGGGCCAGCCCAAAAAGGGTATTTCATGTTCCCCCAAAGCAGAAACCGGGTTTAAGCCCCAAGATAGTGGAGAAACCCCCTTGACTTCCCCAGAAATGGTTGAACCCCAGGGTTTACGTCCCTCTCCGAAGCAAAGGCGGATCGCGCTCAGAAAACCAACCCCGCGCGCGGATTTCTCCTGGATCAGCGCCGTGGGGGCCAGCTCCGCCTGGCCAAAGCCCGAGGACTCCAGCCTCGGTCGCCATCGAGCCCGCGGAGAAAAACCGGCGCCTTGAAGCTGGTCTCATTATCTGATAATCTTGTGCGGAAACGGAGAAATGGGAGGGGGGAACAAAGCCAAGTTGATATATATACAAGTACAGGTTTCGATCCAAAGTCAGATGGGTCTGCAAATAGGGGACCCCCCCGTCTCTTTCAACCGACCCTCCTGGAACCCCATGTCTAGAGGAAGCTCCTTTTGGGGGTCCCCGTTCGAAGAGCATCCCCACAAGTTTGGCCGGTCCAATAGCTTTGCTGGTGGCTTCTTCTGTTCTGCCTTTTTTTTGAAAAGGGATTCCCTTTCAAAGGCTGAAGGGATGCTAGTTCCGCGACAAATCAAAACCCGGTGACTGAGGAACGGCCATCGAAAGCGTCCAGGTGAGCCCTGGCGGCTTTCCTCTGTCCAAGGTTGGAAGCCCCAAAATCCTCCCTCCACAACCGCGTCCAAGTGATTTGCAGGTGGTGCACGAAAAACTCGCTTGTCCAGGTTCACCTGCTACAATGACTGAACAAGGCTGTGGCTTCCCACGAAAAAGGCTTGCGTGGGCTAGGATTCAGAACCCTTGAACAATTGCCTGATGAGCGCGCTGCGGCGCCAGGGGTTCGGTGCCGGCGATGCCACACAAGCGCGAATGCAAAGACGAAAGACTGGCCATGACCAATACACCCGGCAACACCCCCCTATTTATAAACTGGGGTTGATTGATATGGGGTCAACATAGGCTGCTTGACATTTCAGGCAGGACTGCCTCCGGCATGCTGCCCTCGGCCTCCCCAGTTTAGCACATTGGGGCATTGGGGAGCCGACAAGGCAATGGATCTCATGTGATGGGCGACAACATTAGTTTCTATGGTTGTGAAAATTCTTCATGACACTCATTGAAGCAAAAGGCTTGATCCCGGAGCCGCGCAACTAACGAAAAGCTTCGGGGAAACAGAAACGCGCTTGCCCTGGCCAGCGGCATGTTTGAGCACCTTGGGAGAACCAGACAGCGGAAATTACGTTTTTGCTCTGGGAAAGAGGTAGGCAATGGATGATTCACTGTTCCCCCTCTGGTTGCTGCATTCCTGCACTTGAAGGGGTTCCCCCTTCTCACCACAGGGTGGGGAGAAAGGTTTCGCAACTCTGTAGCATCATGAAACAATTGGAATGGCAAGTGTCAACAAAATGGCCAACATATCCTTGAGACCTAATCCGTTCCCCCTATTAATAAAGGTCTCCCTAATAATAAATATGTGTTTCGGAAGTCCCAAATCCGGGAATACTACTTTTAGAATAGCCAATACTAAACCAATTCTAAAGCAGATATTTTCCTGCCCGTACTCAAATCCAGCCCCTTTGGGGGGACCCCGGGGGCACGTTTCCTTTACTACGGCTGTACTACAAAGTTGCGACTTTCGAGCCAGAGCTCCGGGAGCACGTTTCCTTTACTACGGTTGTACTACAAAGTTGCGACTTTCGAGCCAGAGCTCCGGGAGCACGTTTCCTTTACTCGGCTGTACTACAAAGTTGCGACTTTCAAGCCAGAGCTCCGGGAGCACGTTTCCTTTACTACGGTTGTACTACAAAGTTGCGACTTTCGAGCCAGAGCTCCGGGAGTACGTTTCCTTTGAGACCGGCAGGCTGTGCCAACTAACTAATTAGCTACAGAGGCTGGTGGTCAAGGTCAAAGGGTGCCTCAAACCAAAAGCTCCCCAAAAGCAAAGGGTACCTCCGCAAACCATTTTTATTATTAGGGTCTACATTGTCTTTTATTATTGGGGTCTCCAGTAGTAAGCAGACACACACAGCCTACACAGAACAAGAAGTACCTCCAAAACCTGCCCTCCAGAACCAGGGGACCCCTAATAATAAAAATTGTTTTGCAGGCCGGGTATTTTTTTTATTAGGGGGGGGAGGGGGGGGGGGGGGCGTTTTTATTATTAGGGGGAAGGGATTACCTATTCATACCACGAAACTCAAACTCACCCACCTTGCAAGGGAAAATGTAGAAAGACTGCAATTCCCCTTTGCTCGGGAAACCGGAAACACCAGGGCCATCTTGCCCGCGTCCGAGCTTCCAAGTCTTCCTCCAGCACAATCGGCACGGTTCTTGCTCTGTGAAGCTTCCGACCCTGTTCTAACCCGACTTGACCCAAATACGGCCAGTCAACCGCTACCCTAAAAATCGGAGAGAACCAAACTGAAACCAGAATCTATCAATTTCAAACCGTTTGGACCTATAGAATCCATCCTTCAAACGTAAACCCCCATGCACCCCCTAAGAAAACCAATGGAACCCATCTTTCGACTTGACCTGATACTGAAAACGAGTCAGTCCTGAGCTCCCGAGCCCCAGGGCGAGATGGCAGTACGGAGAGGCACCCTCCATGCGCACATCCCCCCCGGTGTAGGTTGCCTGAGCGGGAAGCAGGGATCAACGCCCTGATTCAAAAAGGGCATCCCAATTTGGAGGGGAAATCAACTTCACTGAGGGGATACTCGGCACCTTTCATCTGCACGTGTCAATTCGGAGTCAACGTGCCGACATGGCTTGTGCAATCTGGGTCAACGTGCCGACAATGGCTTGTCCAATCTGGGTCAACATGCCGACATGGCTTGTCCAATCTGGAATCCGGCTGGCACGACTCACGGTTTCGCGAAGGGGACTTGCATGGCTGGAATGCTGTCTCGGACAGTCCACAAGTGCTGGCCTTCACGTCCTCGCGCTTCTTCATGGGGATGGCGTTGTAGTCCGCGAAGGAGCCTCACTGGTTCTCCAGATGCCTTTCAAAACCCCGAAAAGCGCTTGGACATCTTGGAAAAGACAACCATGTAGCAGTGGAATCCGGTCCGTGACTCGCTCTACAAAACTGCGGCTGCAGGTGCGAAGCATCTTCCGGCCTAGAGCAAGCTGCCTTGCTATCTGGGACGGGGGCAAGGTCTGATTTCCACGTCTTTTGCAAATGCAGCTTAGGAGGCAGAGTAAGAGATCAGGGACAAATGTGAAAAGGAGAAGAGCATGTCCTTCCGTTTCCGCGGTACCAACATGGTTAATTCCCATCACTACTTCACCTTGAAGGCGATTCCCTTATCACAAGAAGCGGCCCACAACGTTTGCCAAACCCATCTGCAAGGTTTAGGATAATTCCAACGCCCGAAATCAGGGATCTCCAAGTAGAGGACCTAAATCATGATGAGCTTCTTTCGCTCTCCACAAGATACCAACCCTGCTGCATGCCACGCGAAGCAAGCCATTGGCCAAGCAAGACGCAGGCACAGCCAGCAGGCCCCAATGTTCAAAGCCGAGACACGCATCACCCACTTGGTGAGCTCCGAATGGGCGACATTCACGCCCACAAAGACCATGCGCTCAGGCGCAAAGTTGTCCAGGAGGTAGGAGCGGATGGTCTCCGGGGTGAAGTAGCTCATCGACCTCTTGAGGGAGCTTCATTACTAACAAGATCTGAAGACGTACAATTAGCCTCTTCGAACAACCCGACAAATGGGCCTAGACTCTAGACTGGGAAACCAGACTGGGACAAGGCCGATTTGCATTGGATCCCTAAGTACTTGAAAATTCTGTGGAAGAGGTCAAACCGACCAAAAACCAGCAGGAACCGAAGCTCGCCCGTGGAATGCAACGCCGACATTCTGACGGTGTCAAGCCCTAAGTCATCCACCTGCCTGAAGGAAGTCAGTGAGCCTGAAGGAAGTCAGTCAAGCGACTGATTTTTCCTCAAGAGTTCTAACTCAGAGAAACACGGCCAGGTGGTTTGTGAACGAAGCTGAAAAGATCTGTTGATGTTTACTCTGCGAGAACTCCTGCTCGCCCTTCTCCACCGAAGAGAAAGCATCAACATGCCAGCTGTGCAATTGCCCGGAAGCGTGCGGCCAAACATCCTCGCCGCTCAGCCACAGCCCCCGGCCCCCGGCCCTGCCTCGTGCTGGCCAATGGACTGAGGCCCAGGGTGTTGTTGCAGTAGGCAGCCTCTCCAAAACCCAATGGCCCGGATCCAACTGCTCGCCATTGACGCCTCCGGAGGCCTCTATCTCAACTCTCCTCTAGTGACAAGACAAGACCAACGGCAACACAGAGTAAACATGTGTATACGCCAACTGTGGGATTGGCTGTTGCGCGATTCTTCTCGAAGTGCTTGAACCAGGTTCTTGGATCACGTTGCCTGCAAAAACGCGAAGCCCAATGCCATCTCGGAAGTCCTTTCCACAACCATGTCTCTTGCCTTCCCCAAACTCACACAGCATGCTCAAGTTGTTGTCAGACAAGGAAGTTTTCTCCACAAAGGTTCTCCACAAAAGGGAGATGGTTGACTTGCAGGACTCAGGCATGACTCGGCATGGCGGAACTACCGCCAAGACTGCAAAGAAGCTTTTTTCCACCTGATATTGAAACCATCTGGAGCGATCGGCCAGAGCCTTCGGGCGACGGCCAAAGCCCGCAAGGAACCCCAGCCTTATGTAAAAGGTCGCTGACCATGCTGTCTGGGTTGCCGGTGAGAGCCTTGGCAAGTCTCCAACACCCATTGAAGGAGAAGCCAACGGAACCCTCAGACTTCGGCCAAATTCCAAACAAGCCAACGCCAAATCATAAGCACGGCTTTCACGCAAACAGGGGTCAGCCAGTCACAAAAACCACCGAGCACCCTTCAGCTTTTGGGCCAGTAGGAATGTTTGCACGCCTCTGAAATCCTGCCAAATTCAAGGGCTCCCCTTCTTGAAGCAGACGCCAGTTTTCGGTGTGTCACCATCTACCCCAAAGCCTGAAACACCCGGCTGAGCTTGTTTTGCAAGACCCAGGGAGTCGCATGGCCCTGCCATGAAAACGGAATCGGCCAAGCTGCAACGTCAAGTTGAAGGCAACACGCAACACTCGTTGAGGTGTGCGGCAATTCCGTGTGGTTGCGGGTGAGCTAGCCAGCTGTCGGCTTGGATCAACCCGATGTTGCGGGGGTTCCGACTGGGTCTGATGTTCAACGGAAGGTCTCTATATAACAAACCCGCGTGAGTGAAACCCACACGGATACCCAAATCCGGTCCGCAACCCCCAATCCAAGAAATACATGCCGCTTTATAAAAAACCAGAAAAAAAACCCAAGAGCAAGAAACCAAAATCCTCCAGTCCGGTCCCGACCTCGCCTCCTTGTCCGTCTTCACATCCCCGTGTGCCGACTTCACTTCCCACGGCCTCCAGCGTTTTGCCACTGACGGTTTGCCCCAAGCCCGGGAATCCCAACCCGACGGGCCGCCTGTTGATATGACTTGGCAAAAGCTGAGTCTCACAACTCAGGAGCCTCTTCTGAACTTCTGGGTGGGTTTGGTAGTTTTGATGGGATAGCAAATAAATAGGAGAGGACCTCTTCCATGAATTGGCATTCAGGCTTGTGCCACCTATTGCCTTTCTTCAATTGTTGTAAGGCTGACATGGGGCTGGGCTGCATTGTGGCCTTGGCGGACATTACTAGACTTGATCTGCTTGGGCTGGCATGGCTTTCCAAAGAGGCTGCGCGGCATGCAAAGTTCATTGCACATGTTTGTTCTGTCCCATCAATAATGTGTTCTGTCCCATCAATAAACATCAATAAACACTGTAATTAGAAGGTTTGGGGAAGTGGCGCCCATTGGTGACACATGTTCACCTCTTGGGTATCAGGCAGGATGTCACAAATAAAGGCTTACGCAACGCCTCTCAAAACCCCCCCCCCCCGACTCATGACACGGGCGACTCAAACCCTGCGCAAAAAGCACAGTGGGGTAGTTGGCGATCTGGGGTAGTTGATCTTCCTGGGGCTCCGGACAACAGGCGCGGGAAGAGCACATTGCCCACCATCAAAGGCACCACATAGGGCACGAACTCCCGCTGCACCTCCACCTGGCAAGAGGGATATGTCCCCAAACATCAGGCCCAAAAGATTAGGTTTGCTGCAAATGGGGGGGAGCGGCCAAAATGAGTGAGTTCCCCTTAAACTCCCCGTCTGCCACTACAGCCGCTGGGCAGGGGAAACGCCGACACAAACTGAGCCTGGGACCATTCCTATGGGTCACACACAGGATCCCCCGGCCTCCTACACGAGCCATGGTTTTAACTGTAGTGGACATGGAAACCTCAGTGAGTTCCCGGCTTCGCAGGTATCTTGTCCCCAAATGGACCATGAACTACTGAGGACAGTAAACCGGATTTCACATGGCAACGAGGTCTTCAAGCACCCGAACAAAATATTCAAACAAAAAAAAGTCTTGACCTTTTGACAGAGTGGAGTTTCCTCTGCGTGACTGCGTGACTGTGTGACTGCGTCATGGTTGACGTGTCACACTACGTCCGACGTGTGAAGCGCTTGATCAAAGACCCCAGTCAACTTGACCAACGAAGAAGGAAACAACAAACGCCTCATCAGCTGATGGACAGGCTCAATAGGTTCCTAGCAGAAAGGCTCTGGTTAAAGCCCGTCCAAACAACTGCTTTCAAATCATTTTTAAGGGGAACGAGGGTGGTTTGAGCCCGCGCCCCTTGCAAGCGGTTTTCCTCAACTCTTGGGAAACAGTTAAGGGGGGCAGGCGTCAATGGATATGGGCAAAAGCTACACATTGTTGACCATTGACATGTCTTCCCAAAACATTAAAAAAAAAACACGTCGTGCTTGCCTTCCCTTTTCCAGGTCCGGCCTGGTAGAGGATTTCCTCACGGCCAGCCTTGCAAACGGAAGCCTGGTCCGCGCCCATCTGCTCCAGGGTCTTTACCGTCCTACCAACGAAATCCGAAGTTCCAGGGGGCCGCGGCTGTTGCATTGGGCTTGGGGCAAGTTTGGCATCCGACAGGAACCCTGTACTCGGAACCATTTGCCAGAAGGTCCAAAAGGACCCTGCTTTAACTGGGAAGGATCCACAAATCCACAAACAAAGAATGGCGCTCACGCCAGGTTGGCTTATGGTCGCGATCATGTCTGTTTGACCACTCCGGGGCGCTCGCACGCGTTTGATGTATGAAGGCCACGCCGTGCGCGGCCCTGAATTGCCCCACATGTTCAGAAACGTCCTCTGCTGGGCAACGCTTCTAGCACGTGGGAAATCAACAGGCTTCTGGCACATCTGCCAACTCCCCCAACCCGAGCAACGAGCTCTGTGTCTGTGTTGCATCTGACATACGAGTGAATGTGCTTTTGTGCAGTTGGTTCACCTATCAAGTGTCCCCAGTCTTGCAGAGTTCCCTGGGAATGCAGCTGAGGCATTGCCACTTGCGGTCAAGGCACTGTGTTCTCTGTGTCTTGCGAGAGCCTCGTGCTCTCTTAATTAGTTTGGCCAGCTGGCCCTTATAATAAGCTCCCTTCTCGCATTTTGCTACGCTTGACCTCCCAGAGCACGCTGTCAGTACTCGTGGAGGCTGTCGCGAACGCTCATGGCAGCAGCCTGTTTGCGTCTCTTTGGTCGGCGTGGCTTTGAGTGCTCCAGGAGTCTTTGTTTGATCAGTCTTCCGCACCGGTCTCGACAGCTGGCACGGCGGTTTCCCGCAGATTGCTTGGCTTGCGGAACCAAGCGATGTGAAGGGGACAGAACCACATCGGAGACCATGGAGACCAAGGCAACAATCGGGTCACTCGCAGGGTCAGGGGGTCCAACAATGAGTCCAGGTACAGCGAGCAAACCGATGTTTCGAGACAGAACCGGAAGACGTGAGTGCAGCCTGCAAGGCACAAGGCAAAGCGAGACCCAAAGAACGACGGAGCGTGGGGTTCATGTATGCTACTTGAGCTACAAGATGTAGCGGCAAGCAAACTCATGCGAATGGCGAGGACGGCTGACGACACCGTCTGAACAAGCACAAACAACGAGCATACTTCCTTGCTCGCCCATGGGGGCGTGAGCCAAATCAAGCGTCCTCGCAATTTGGGTCGTGACAAACAAAACAACCACCGGAAAGGATGCTTCAACATACCCGTGGCCCTTGCACGCTACCCCACTTTAGACACGAAATTTGACACCAAAAATATTATATATCCTCCCTCCCATCCCAAACGCTGCCCCCCCCCCCAACTGACCTCCCGCCCCCTCTCCCATCCCGCCCTCCTGAGGTGGCTCAGGTGCGCGGTGGAGCGGTAGCCCATCAACGCCGCCATGTGCGCCACCCCCAGGTTGCCAGGGGTCTCAAAGCGCGAACCCGCGTGAACGTAGAGTCCTCAAGTCAGCAAATCCCAAGGCTGCTCGCCCCGTGCCAGACGTCACCCGGAAGCTTGTGGGGAGTGGAACCGGCAGTTCGAGAACTGGCCGCAACAAGTTCCATGAAGAGCGATGACTGATTCCAATAAAGACACCTTCACGGGTGAGGTTCCTTACACACCCGGCGAACATGGTCATGCAAATTTGACAGCCCTGTTACGTCACCGATCATGACATTGCTGACATTGCTGCAAAGTTGTCTATGGTTTAAGATGACTGCCATGCAGGGCAACCTGGCAAGAAGAAATGTGGGTTCCAAACCACATCTTGGCAAGGCCATCCTGTCATCTCTAGAGATGCATCTTGGGAAAGGAGTCTTTCACCCAAAAGTCTGCTTGTCAGCATCATGAGGAAAAACAGGTAGACTGATCTCCCGCCCTTTCCCAGCCCAAGTCTTCTGCCCTCGACTCATTGAATGAAGTGGCTAGAAGAAAGTCAAACTCGTGGGTTGGCGTCAGCAAAGCAGGCAAGGCAAGCCGAGTCAAACGACCGAGAAAGGTCCATAGGATCCTTTCAACGGGCTCAAGGAAGCTTGGATGCTGC